GTCACAGAAGGCACAAAGGTGGAAGTTTGGTATTGGCAGAGGAAGAGAGACAGAAAACTCACATTTTTCATCACGTATTGAAAATGTGTAATTTATACAAGATCCTGTCCGATAATTATTCCCAAGTCAACTTTAAGTGGAGGACGTAACGAATATATTGGTTGTTCAGATGATAGCGTTTGCATAGGTTATTTTTTCCAATATGAAGAACAGCACACGTCAATGGGATGACGGTGAGAAGCTAGTCGTTTGACCATTGAGGTAGCCTGCCAAGATCATCTTCAATACTCATAACAATCACGAGTGGGTTATCGAAGCATGTCGGCAAACCACTCAGTGGGGGATACCATCAGGTTGCAGGGTTCATGAACAAAAACGATGTTGACATGATTGGCTAATATCTCAAGAATCACGAAAGGTCAGAGATCATGCTGACCAGATTAACTAAGATAGGACATGGAACAGATTTAGTTCTCAACTGGCTCTTAAGATATCTGTAGAAATATTTTGGACCAGAGGATATTCCCTTCATAACATGCAAGTTGGAAGTCAATTGTTGAGTTGACCTGGTTTTACAACTGTTGTAAACAGTAAATAAAGTAGGGTTGTTCCAGTCCTCCACATGTTTAACCCAAGATTATTTCCTCAGTGCCATCAGGTATTGAATTGCAGATGTCATTCAATGTTTGTTGTGTAAGACGACTCCTAGTTGTGAACAGGGATTTTCTCAGTCACTTGTAGTGAGGAAAGAAGATTTGAAGTAATTTTCTATATAGTGTGTCCCCCAACTTTGGAGCACCCCATAACTTCTAAACAGTTGACAACATTGAAGTGCAGTTTCGCTCAACAATCCGGAATCGTAGGACAAGTAATATGTCGTAAAGAGATTGGAATATTATTAGTTTTAGAGAAATTTAAACATTTTTGATTGTTTAAATGGAATTATACATTTTCTTATCGGTAATGGATAGATCAAAAACAGAGAAATACAATAATATACAATATGTTATTAATTTAATTGTTATCTATACTATTATATAAAGACACAAGTGCAGTAACTTCTAACATGATAAACTCTGAATATACTAAACCACCTCCGATGAAACTTCTCTACCAGCTTCCTTTAAAGGACTTGAGTAATATAGGCTATGATTTAACACCATAAACCTTCATATTTTCAAAAGAATTACTTTTTTTGGACATTTTTTACCTTACATCATACATCATCATCATCATGAGTGCATCAATGTCAATAGTTCAGCTGCATGCCACCAGAGGAAGACATTCGAGATCTATACCAATTACATCAATATACAGAATTATTACAAAATTCATTGGGGTTTGAATAAGGCTACACCATGTCCATGTTTGAATGTTGGTGATATGTTACTTCAGAATGTTGATGGAATAGTAGAAAGAAAGCCGTAACTGAAGTTGTAAAGAATGCCAAACTATATGCATTGTCTTTAGTCCGTGTTATATACAAAGAGTGGCACAATAACATTGTGTGTATAAAAACAGGCTGACAAAAGTATTAATTTCAATTTTGTACAGTACAGAATATACAATAATGTACAATGTATAGATATTTTATACTTTTTAAACAACCTCTTTTGAACCTCAACAAAAATTTGTGAACACAAAATGCCTTGAAACCATGCGGAAATGAAAGTCACAGTCATCAAAATAGACAAGTACTAAGTGATGGCAGTATATAAAAATTCTTTATCAGCTACTTGGAGGCAAGAGCGACGTTTCCGAAGATCACACACCCGCCACTGAAAATAATACTGCAAGGAGGGACGCAAATTTGAATAATTCTCTGGAAATAGGGCATCTTTTCGTAATGACTCCATTTGACTATTTACATAGCTCTCATATTCAAATTGGTAAAATGGAAAATGTGTGTTGGTGGATTCGTATGTTGCAATATTATCAATTGATTTACCAAAACAAATAAGATCTGCTACTAGCACATGGGACTATAAACTAAGTTACTTCTGTTGTCTTCAAAATAATAAAAAAAAAAATGACAATTACGTTTTTGCATAGATATTTTCTTTGATGATTATGATTCATGAATTACATTATGACATCTATATGAAGTACTCTGGATATATTTACTAGCGTACCCATGTGAGAACTTTCGCATGTTGTTCTCCACAAGACACAGCAAGTCCCTTCAAGGTCACTAGTTGGCAGGAGAATAATTTTAAACCTTTCTTTATTAATACGATAGACAAATTTTTAAAAATAGTTAAGTTTCACAATTTGGCAATTTATTGAAAGTATTGGTATAATACATAAAACTCCACAAAAAGAATATATGTTTAAATTTGTTTACTGCTTTTAGTTATAAAGTGAGAAATGTTTGGCAAATTGCCGACTTTCAGAACAGCTGAGCAGCACTCAAAAATTGAAAATCTCTCTAAGAGAGTTATAATCCTTGAAAGTGCTGATAATCACTACAGATAGTCTCCTGTTCTCTGGAAAAAGACTTGCTTGTGGAAATAGACTAATGTCATAAATGAGCCTCAATGCTATTTTTTCCAATTATGTGATCCCGGGTTTTATCATACAAAACTCATCACAAATTCAATCACTCTACATGATCAAACTTCTCATAAACTCGCTCATTACACAGATTCTCAAGTAAGCCTATCTCACTGCCCCCCTTCACTGAGAAGGCTGTAAATCTTGAGAAGGTCCTACATAGCTTATTTCACAACTTAGCCTTTATGTCCTATCCTGCGGTTTTGTCACAACTACACTGATTACCACTCATTGTATAACATTCCTCATCTTCAGGATGGAAGAGCAATCTGTGACCGTATCTTTCTATTTAAATTTTCGCAGATAAAATTAATTGTAATGATTTCAATTATAATAAAAAGAGGTTAAAGAAGGGTACACGGTGCACCTTCAGAGAAGCATGGCAGCGGGGTCTCCTTAAGCCCTCCCTCAAATTACACTGTGCGCTTTGATAGAAATGAATGAAACTTACGGATAGGCGATTTTCGCCTCGCCCTTCATATGCTTTGTTCTTGCCGCAATGCCAATTTACTTTCAAAGGCAAGTTCCCTCGCTTCGTTCGCCCAGATTCTAGTCACGGCGAGGCTTGGGCCTTTGGCCCTCACATTCACTATAATCATCCTTGAGCCTATCCAATGCATAATTACAAATTCACTTTTATAAGAAAGCACTTTTCAAGAAAGCCTCCATAATTCAAACTGCGTAGTTATCGCCAGAGCGATGCGAAGTGCTGGTTTAAACAACTTCCATAAGTTGTAGCGTATACTAGACTTCAGGCAAAAAAGTTTAAAATAACATGTTCATAGTTGACATATGTTCAATAGATCACTGGAATGTTTATTGTAAAAATAGTGTAGCACATTCCTAAACCGTTTCAAAAAACATTTGAACTAGCGTTGAAATTCCATGACAGGCTGACTCAATAGTTATAACATTGTCATACAATTTTTTTTACTTAGAAAAGGTAATACTTACACCAACTCAGTAACACAGCATTTTCATCATATTCCGGTTCATCATCTGGCTTTCTTGGTGGAGTCCTATTGTAATAAAATACCAATCAGTAAAAATTATTGTAACTACTTTTAAAATTAATTCTACTACTCTTGGAAAATTAAAACACAATGATACAATGACAAATAAAAAGCCCAGTGACATAAAACACCACTATAAATAACCTTACTTTTGGAAACTGTGTTGCATAAAAATTAAAATTTTGTAAAATTAAAGTATGGTAATCCAGCAAAATTACTTTCTTAAAATAGACAACACCTAGAGCGTGGTTCTTCAAAATTTACTTACTTGCGTTGAGGACTAGGAGAGTGTTTCCTCTTTTCTCCTCTCATTTCTTCATTAGTTTTATTTGACTCTTCTTTAGACTCATTGCCAGCACTTTGAGATTCAGACTCCTTTTCACCAGGTTCTTGTTTCACATCAGTTTCCATCTGAAATTGTACTTAATTAAAATTTGAAATTACTGAAGTATTTCACATGAAAGTTATATTTTCATTCAACAGACCTTCACATCTTTAGGCTCTTGTTTAATAGGTTGTGTCTCGCCGGTTTGGTTTTCTTCGTTCTTAATATTAACGTCACTCCCAGCAGAGTCGTTTGGTTCAGTTTTCACAACTGGTTCCGCCGATACAACAGGAGCTGCGTCTCCCTGTGGCTCCAGTTTCATTTCTTTCTGAGGTTCCGCTTGCGTGCAATCTTCTGCCGGGCTGGGAACCTTTTCAGGTTCTTCTTTAACTTCTTCGGGTTTAACTTCCGAAGGGGTACTAGCAGATTCGCCTATTGATGCATTACCAGCGTCCTCGGTCGATGTATCGAGAATTGAAGTCTCTTCTATTTCTACAACAATGAAAATTTATGGTGTAAAGCCTACAGTTATTTTTTTTATTAAAAAGAGCTCATCATCCATTATCGACCTATCACGACGCGTCCCACGCAAACGTGGGGGCTATTGTTTACGCCGGAAGCGGTGCTTATTTTCTTATACAGTTCATTCAATTAAGCTACAGAAGTACAAGAAAAATAGTTTTATGGCCACGAAAGAGTAGTGCATGCTGTATTTTCCTGCAGTAAAAATAAAAAGTGATGAAAACTTACTTTGGCCGCTTTCTTTCTCTAGCGCCTCTCTGAGCCTGTCAACAAGAGCGGCTTTGTTTCCTTTTGTGTCCAATCCCCTTGCACTTAATTCGGCCCGCAACTCCACCACTTTTAATTTAGCTGGATCTAGAACATCACTCATGTTTTTGCCGTACTTGTAGGAAAGTAATAAACCCGAATCAACACTCCGTACAAGCAACCGAAGATCATCGACAAATCGCAATGGCGTGGGTGCCGTGTGCTATGTATACGAATTTCTCATTGGTCAAGCGTTCCTCTTACCGCTGAAAACGCAGATTCTGTATCCAATCAACTAAGGCGTACTTTACTCTGTGATACTCTGTTATTGGATGCTTGGAAAAGCTTTCAGTTCTTCGATACGCACTGGTCATTCGCACAACTGAAGAGAAAGGGAAAAAAAAAAGAAAAAGAAAAAAAAGAGAGGGAGACCGACTATGACAATTATAGTTATGATCGAGCATAGAGAAATGTTATATATTTAAATATATGAATTGTGGGGCCGAGCATTGAAACTACGTACCATTTTGTTTTATTGTTTTGGTTACAAAATTGATGTCGTAAGCTCTATGCTTCATTATGAATCGATATAATAAATTATAAATTTGATCGTTTCATACGTAGCTTCCCTTGTAATATTTACTTTACGCCAGTTTCAGATCTAAAAGATGAGTTTCACCTCAACATTATCCTGTAATAAATAACAAATGTTACTATGGTTACTGAAAACCGATATTTTGAACTGAGCAAAGGTGGAGGGTTTCGTGAAGCCATTCTGAATCAAATATTGTTATCTACACGAAATTATGGCCGAGGAAGGTAGAAACCATTTATACACCAATCCAGAAACGCCACTAGTTCATTCGTAATTTACAAAACAAAAAATCAATAATGTTAAATATTAGAAGAAACCCAATTAGGTATTATAATACCGTTAATTAGCCTTTTCATCTGGTTTTATAAGTAAGACAAATAGATCATTTTCAAGTATTTATAAATAACTAATGTAATTACAACTTTAAAAATTTGTATAACTTGAAAACAAATTATGAAATTAATGTTTATAGTTACTATAGTTTTTAGATTAGAAATAAATTGAAGAAAATACTTGTACATCAGCCTTAAATTTTCAATGCCCAAGACTTGCAAATGTTTTGTTTCCAATACCTTTGCACTCAATTTATAAAAATTGTCATGTTCCAAATAGTTTAAGTGTTATAATTTTCTCTGAAATGATAAAATAAATGCTGTTATGGAAAATGTATAATAATATGCATTTTTGTCTTGTGAAGGAAAAAATGAATTGGAAAAAAGAATTATTGAGGTATTTGATGTCTTTGATCACGCTGGAGAAAAAACTGTGGATGTGCGGGAAGTTGGTACCCTCATACGATCACTGGGTGAGAACAATTCTATTCCTTGCATAAATGATTTAACAGCAATGAATCATTAAAATCTGTCCGTGATACATCAGGATGCTGCCCAAGTGAACTGGATCTTCAAGAAATTATTGCAGAAGTAGAAGATAAGGAAGCTTCTGGCAGTGTGACTTTAGAAAAGTTCTTGCAATGTATGGTGAGACTTGTTGAAGAAAACAAGTATGTATTTATGATTCACAAATGCACAATTAACAGTCGTGAAACATTTTGTGAAGTCATTTATAGATGGAATTTCATCTCCCCATATGTCACATAATTTTTACCTGGCTTTGTATGTAAAATAGGTCCTTCTCATTTTGAAGTACATTTTTAAAAAGGAAAGTAAAATCACTTTCACATCTTTTAGATTGCAGCCTGCAGAGCCTGAAGAGTTACTAAAAGCTTTCCAAATGTTAGACCCTGAAAAAAGAGGATACATTACAAAAGAAGAAATGACTAAATATATGCTGGAAGAGGGAGAACCCTTCACTCAGGAAGAAGTAGATGAAATGATGGGTGTGGCAGTAGACAGTGAAACTGGAAATATTCCATATGAATATTACATTAATCAATTAATGGTAGGAATATTGCATCTTTTTTTTTTCTTTTCTTTCTTTCCCGGCCTCCAGTTAATTGTCATTTGTACCAGATCTGCCGAACGGTACACCTCATTTTGATCTTCAAATTTTTATGAAGGTCACTTTTTTCTGGCTTGAAATGCTAACAAAATTTCTCCATGGTGTGTTTTTCATTTTAAGTCCCCTCTTATTTCTGTTTCCTAATTAAATATAATAGTACTTACCATTTTACTTACTAAGTGAAAGAGGAGGTTTGAAAGCAAGGGAACATTAAATGTTTACAGAACTGGCTTTTCACTTCATTAATGCTGGATAAGTATTAATTAGTTTTGATAAGTGCTTAACATACACAATAGTTCACATTGTTTTGTAGAAAAGATTGTACTTAATGATTTCATAGTACAGAATATTTATTTCATCCAGCTGGTCAACAAATAACATGGAACAAGACATTTTAAAGTAATACAAAATTATATTGCTGTAGATAATGCTCTTTGAACGTTACATGATTTTCATCTAAAAATATGACAGTAAACATAATAAGGAAGGGAATACTAATTTAAGATTATTTGTACCAATCTGGGCACTTATAGCTTTGCAAGAAATACAATGTTTCATATTTGTATGTTTAACACATTGCCATGTGGTTGCTGGTGGACTCAGAGCGGTGACTCTCACAGGGTGCCATGGTCTCATGATCCGTTCTTCTTTAAGACATACATGTTTCAGCAACGTCTCATTAACACAATCTCAGTTTGGATCTGGATAAAGCATGCATCATGGATGACATGTGGGCTGTGGAATAAATTGCCAGTTCATGGGATAGCAGTTGATTCTTGGCTCCAGTGGATACTTGTTTCTGACATCCTTGATGTTGATTTCAAGTGATTTTAGGCTTTATTTGTCACTATTTTATTTTATTGACTCACATATTCACAAAATGAGTGCAATTTTGTTTCTTTCATTTTTATTTTATTTTTCCCCAACTACTACTTTAAGTGTCATTTTATCATTTTGATGTTTGCCATTATTTTTGTATAGCATTTTATGATAAATTAATATTGAATTATTGTATAATTTGATTATTGTTTTAAATGATCTTAAACCATCATGTACTTGGACATCTCATCAAAGTAACCATTTTCTGTCTATAAAACACATTTTAGATATTGATCCATCTGGTAAAAACGACCGAAGAGAAATTGAAAAACTACATAGATTCTCAAGTACAAGGGAAATCAAGTTGTCACTTCTGAGTACATTGCTCTTTACTTCTCCACACTTAAGAAAAATTACTGGGTTGTCTTTGAATTCAGTGATAATTGCGTCAAAACTAACAGGAAAGAAAATGCAAATAAAGAACTTTAGGGCAGAAATTATAGAACCTATAATTGGAATTTCAGAAACAAGATATAAGTATCTAGAAGCAAAGATCACCAAGATCTCACAATGAAATGTTAGAAAACAGGCAGAGTCACAGTCCGACAATAATAATACAAAAGATTTGCTAGGACTGTTATCTAAAGATTGTTAACACATAATGGAAGGTCAGAAGACTGGTGTTACCTACCTGGTTCTAAATAAAGAAAAGAGAAGTTTTTGAACACTGAACCAAAATCCACTGTATACAGTTTACCAATATAATTCAACAGCTTTATAGGCCTTATAATAACAATGCAACCTAGGATACACGTAACCAAATTACAATTTTTCCTAAATAAATCTTCAAGATTTTGAAAAAATATTCTTTGTATTTAATTCTCACGTGAAATTACTCTTGCCTATAACTCCATCCTTTTCTGATAAGGGACAGAGAAATTGATAGTATTTCATTTTAGAATAATTAAAGTAGAAAACATTCAAAATAAATAATTTCAGGTATCAAAAGAACTTTATCAATTGAAAAGAGATGCAGTAGAAAAAGTGGAAGCAAGACCTTCTAGAAAGAGTTTTCGAGATCCATTATTGAGAAGAAGCATACAAGGATCAGGAACATTCTGAAATGCTACCTTTAACATTTATGGCCCCTCCACAAAATTCATAATTAATTAAAGATGAACTTGGAAGAAAATCACATTGCAATCTTCAGAATTATATCAAATGACCTACATAGTAAGTAATTGGTATAAAAGCACAATATTTTTTTTCACATGCATACAGATATAACAAGAAACGTATAAACTGTTTTAATTAAACATAATTTTCATACAATCAAATACAAAAATACATACAATTTATTAAATTTGCTCAGGTTTATAAAACAATATCACAGCTTAGAAAATGTTGGAGGAGGACTCTTAGTAGCCTGGGCCATAGTAGCATTTAAGAAGTCTTCTGACTGCAGCATAGTCTGGTTCCAGAATCGCTAAAATGAAAAGAGTGTGGCAGGAGGAAATTTGAATACTACAAAACAGAAACTTATTATATTCACCTTGAACATTTTTTAAATGATTGTTATCAGCATTTTTATTATTATTATTATTTTTGTTATGGTTGTTATTATTTTTATTTTGCATTTGATTTAATTCAGATTAATTTCATCAGATGTAATATTCTAATATGTTTTGTTGTCTTTTCCAGATTGATTAAAGTTTTGGTGAATACATATCATATTAAAATAAAATTACTTCAAAAATAAAAGCAAGAGATATTTAACAAACATTGTAATCTATATGAGCAATACTAAATAAATAGTAACATCATATCCCCACTTGACTTTTTGTCTTTCTTTATACAATCTCAGTAATTACATATAAGATCTTAATCTATTTAATGCAAAATTTTTCACTGAATGAGTACAAGAAATTAATTTCTTAGACAATGTAGTGAAATGCTAAGCATTGTAGTCTGAGAATATGTAATCAGGTATGTACAAAAGTACCTTTGCAAGTTTATCTTATATATTTGATAAGTTTTAAATGTTTTAATTTTACTTACAATGTGATCAAGTCCCTCTTGTACAGAATGGTCTCTTGAATAAACTAAATTCCTCTTGGTCAACTGCACAGCAACAGGACTCAACCCAGAAATTTCCTCAGCCAGTTCAACAGCTTTCTCAACCATGCTGCAAGCAAAACCCAATTGCATACATACTATTAAACCTATTGTAGAACATGCTAATTTATTAACGATCACTTGCATGGTAGTAAATTTGCTAATTTATTAATGTTCACTTGCACACACATACCTGTGACCACACACTTTAAAAAATAGATATCAGAAGTATTTACAATTGGTCAAGGAAGGAAACGCCTACCTCAGCAAATCACAAACATATGGCAACAATACACCCTTAATGTACAGGGATTGGGAGAATAAGTGTCTTTTTTTCCTCAATTCTCATCTTCAAATTTATAAATCTCTGATTAAAATGAACAGAATTTGCCTAATTGGTACAGTGAAAATTGTATATCTCAATACCTCCAACAAATGAGGTGTCTCCTGGATGGTGCCTCCTTGCCAAGGATACATCTCCATATAGTGCAGTGTTTATAACTCTACCCCTCAAGGCCCTACTTCATGATGGCGTTATGTCACTGTATTTCACATCTTTCTCAGTCACATTGCTAGATGTTGCACAATAGCAACCGTATCCAGCAAGGCTGTACGGTCACGATCATGCAACATCTAGTGGTATGACCGAGAATAATGCAAAAAAACAGTGACATAGTGCCACTGTGAAGTAGGGCCTTGAAGTGCAAAGTTATAAAAACTGCACTCTACATATTTTGGCAGAAACTGTCAAAACGGTCAAAGACATGCTGCCTTTCTTGTGACTGTTCAATTTTTATAAACATAAGACAACTTTAATTTGGCCAGACATTTGTTCAAAAGTCCCCTGAATCATGTTATTAGTTTTTCTTCAACTGTATTATATTCCCTCAACTCTTATTTACACTAACATATCTCACACAAACCTCACAGAAATAAAAGAGCAAAAGAAACTCTACAGCAGTTAAACAGCTAAAACAATTTTCCAATAAGGATGCATACCAGGGAAGAGGTACATCGTGGCACAACCTTAGCACACAAGCAAAATTAATTTTTAGGTTTGTTCAGATATACTGTCAGGAAGATGACATTATCAAGAAAGCGACTAATCACATTTATTCTTTTCATTTTCTTGGTTTCGATAGTTTGTTCTGCACCCCCAGATGGATGGACAGAAAGGTGTGTTTGTGTGCGTACTTGCATTCCAACTTTGTCAGCTCAACGACCCAGATTTTGCTTAGCACAGGGGCATTCCATGTGAAATCTAACACCATTTTGAACTTTACTTCTCAGATGTAATAAATTTTGTATGCCCACTGTGATCAAATTAATGAGACCTGTATTTTTTAGTTTTTGCACTAAGCATATAATTTCAGTTATAATTTTTTTTTTAGTTTCAGCAAAACCGTGACTTTTGTCAAAATGATGTTTTGAATTTGCAATAACTTCGAAAGTCTAACACTTCAAGACACTTTGACAGACCAACTATAACTCCATTTTAAAGGTAATTAAATACGCTTTTTTTTCATATGTTACAACTTGTTACAACTTCAAAAATTAATTTAAAAATTGTTTTAAAATATTTTTTAAAAATAATATGAATGCAATTTTCAAAATGATAACCATAAGATAATTCATTTTTCCACACACCATATAACACTACATGCAATTCTCTTTTTGTGACAATTTTCAAGATGGAGAAACAACGGAGCATACGAAAATGAAGCAACGATATATTTACTACTCGCATATCTGAGTATGCAGAAGTGATGGTTGTAATACATACACACAAACACCAGTTTTAATCCTCACAGATATTCCATAGATATCATATCTTTTCTGATAGATATATCTGTAGTTTAAAACAAATTACTATGAATAGTAAAAATGGTGAATTTAAATTTTCTTCAAAAGTATTCCATCTGACATGGCATATTAATTTTAAGAATATAAGCCCATAATCCATGTCAAGCAAGTGCTTTCCCTCAATTGCTTTTGCAGTTGGTGGATAGCAGCACATCTGCTTCAATTGCAGGAAATATCTTCCAATGACCTGAATCCATCCATCTGTGTTCCAATGATATTTTGGAATACAGATGTTTCATAAGCATTTAAATGCACTAACCTTTCTTTGGTCTCAAAGACTTTGCTAACCATTCCAAACTCTTTTGCTTCATCTGCCACAAATTTCCGTCCTGTAAATGCTAACTCACGAACTAAGCTATCATTTCCCACAACTTTTGGCAATCTTTGAAGAACTCCAACATCACCAGCCATACCTGAAATACAATTTTCATTATGATAAACTGGGAAGGAAATTTTACATATAAGAGTGCATTCCTGTATTGGCATATAACTTACCAATTGCCACCTCCCGAACTTGAAACCAAGCATTGTTAGTGCACCAACGAATGTCAGCTGCAGTTATGAGGTTCACTCCTGCTCCTATACATGCATCATGAACAGCACAGATCACTGGTTTGGGACACTGAAAGCATGGGATGAAAATACCATACACACATGTACAAATACTTCATAATTCAATAACAATTTTCTTTTTGACACCCATATTTTTCATGCAGCCCAATCATACTGATTTGAAGTTATTATTGGCTATGAAATATTTAAAATACAATACATATAATATATTTCCCCAATTTTTTTTCACCAAGAAAATGAGAAACAAAAATAACTATTAAAAAATTATAAAATCTTCTTTTCAAAAGGGCAAAAATCATACTAAAGGCAAATGCTATTTTTCAAAAGTAATGGGGTTGTCAGATGCTCCTCGTTACAGGTAACCTCCCACAATCGTCAGTCATTTGTATGCTCAAAATAAGAACTTGTTAATGAATTAAATTAGTGGTTCTACACAATGACACAAACTTTCTTGTATTAGTTAGTTTCCAATTCTCTTACATCTGGACTAGTTTTTCACTTATGCCCCACTCTCTTCCCATGATCCAACTATAACAGCCTAAATACATTTTTTTTCCTCTTTTCAAAATTTTTCATTCCCCTAAAGATAGAATAGAAAGGTTATTACTATACGATAATTATAGAAGAATCAAACCTGGTCCTAAAAATGAATTTTCATTGAAATACTTGAAACCGTTCTTAAGAAAATTGCATTGGAGTGTTTCTGAAAATGGGCAATTTTGAACTCATTTTCACAAACTTCTGTTGAGTTTTAAGAAACTTCATAAGAAATAATTTAAAACACTTGTACTTACAAATTTAGTAATGTACAAATAATGTCTATTATGTAATTAAAATATAAGATATTTGAAAAATTACATTTCAGCAATTTAAAAAAATATCTTAAGAATACATCACAATGGCATTAATGTCATGTTATTAAGAGCATTTAGCACTGCTCACCCATAAAGTTAAAAGAAAAATTCAGGGCTGTTATTCAGAAAATGATGTTCAAGCATTTCTGAAAATATGGAAATTAGAGCTTATTTTCACAGAAAAATTTTGAGTTTCTGAGTAACTTTTTAAGACTTCATTTTGAGCAACTTCACTGACAAATACAATAATGTTTAAAAAACACCTCATAATAAATATTAACATCCTAAGATACTTAAAAAGATATAATTGTATAATCTGTCAAAAATCAAATAAATACATCAAAATTGCATTTACATAATGTTATTTGGCTCTGCTTGCACTATCTGAAAAGTTCATAGAAAAAATTTTGAGCCATTTGCGGGAAAATCTTTTATTTAATATCTTGTGCCCAGATTTTGCTGAATATGCCAGGAAAACTACTATTACTTTGAAAATAATGAACATTATATTAATTAAAAAATTAATTGTGGAGAATAAATTTCATTTGAAGAAAAAATTGCAATCTTCTACATGATAGTTGTAGCAAGACACCGAAAAAATTCAAACTTCCGTAAATTTCAAAAATTCAGAGTTAACAGTGAAAATTGGACTTAAGTTATAAGTGAATTTCACTCTGTTCTTACAAAAAATGTTAAGCAATTTTTGAGGAAATTTTTGTAATATCTCAGGTGCTTCATACAGAACCCTCAAAGCTTAAAGAATTCTTTTGAAAACTACAGGGCTTCATCAGAGCCTGATCAACCAAGGAAAATTCAATTTGGAAAAAGTCCTATGAATAGTTGTGCGCTAATATTGTTTACAGATGGACGGATAGACATTTTGAAAATAACACTTTTGCGGTACTCAAGACACCCCAAAACATGTATTTCTGTTGAAATCTTAAAATTGATTTTTCACAGCATTACATAACATTCTGTATACTATGTATATTACTCTGTATGCGAGAAAGTAAAACCAGTCATTTTATTGCAAACCCACTTTAAAGACTAACTTTAATTTCAGTTTGGAATATTTAAATACAACACAAACTTAATATTGCAGGAGCTTCCCTGATTTCTGTTTATATTGGGTGAATCAGAAGACTATACAATTCATCAATGCCTACATTACTTAAACATTAACTTTCAGTTTTACAAATGTAAATAAAAGTAAAAAATTAAGAAGAAACCTTCTCCAACGATGAAATTGAGTCCTGGTAAAGCTGAATCGTCTTTTCCAGCATTCTACACCGACGTGCAACATCATCAATTTCTGCAAGTTGTGGACCCATCTTCGCAAAATCTTTCAAGTCGATTCCTGTAAAGTAAATACACAATGGATGACATATGCATACATGACAGCAAGCAATGCAAGGTATCAAGCAGGCAAGGAAAAACATCTTCACACATTAGATAAATAAATTTTATAAAAAATTAGATAAAATGCAATTTAGGACAAAAAGTCTGAATGGAAAAGATTACTATCAATAAAAAACAATTATTTGAATATCATTACTTTTTTTATTTTGTTGGGTCTTCATAGACACGATGCTTCTTCAAGCAATTTGGGAGGAGTTGAGTACTTTGCACTTGGAATAATTACTTACTGCACTTATTATTAGGAGTAATCCTCCATTACCAATATGTCATGTCTCGTTGTAATCAGTTGTCAAGAGGTCCGCCAGGTAGCATTCTTCTACCACGCACTCCTGCATCACTACCCAGCGGCCAAAAGTGGGAAGGAATAAGGATAGGGCTAAGGTTTAGGACACTTTACAGTGGTTGGACTAGCCTCTGCAAAGCAGGCAAACTCATTTTGTCGTAACAAATTTCACACGAGGTTTTGTGGGGATTCTAAGGGAAGCTAACCCAGAACCTCAGTGGTGAAGCACCAAGCAAGCGACTTCGCCACGAGATCGCCTTTAAAAATAACAACTTACAAGATATTTCATTTTAGCTTAAACAAGGATGGATATCCAGCATTAATTAAATGAAAGTTATTATTTCTCTGAATTTAAAGTTATGAAATTCAATGTGTAATTTTTATCATTGGAAGTCTTAAAGACATTAATAGCATTTACAGTATTATTACTATAGTAATTTACATACTTTATTAATAAAATAATATAATAGTAAAACTATTGAATATGAATGAATTACAGAAAAACGTCAATATTTATTGATATTTTTCAAAATCTATTAATAATCAATCTTTCATGCGCTACATGTCAAAATTAAAATATTTGTGGTAGTGACAAACAAAGCAAATAACCAAAAAACAATAATCTAGAACTGATTGGCAAATTCTATTAGTTAATATAACAAAGCAGCACTTATCCAATCATGAAGTAGGAAGTTTAGAAAAACCAAACAATATTCTTTCAATTACTATTAATCAGAATCCATCAGTTAAAATAATTAACTATGCAACTATATAGTTTATGTTTTTACATTTCTATTTGTAATGTAAATCGGAAGCAGGAAGAAATATTTCCAAAAATAGTCCAGTAGCAATAGTAGAATCAATTGTGTTTTTTGTAAATTCCTCTTAATTCTCTAATTTGAATCACACAGAATGATCACCTTAATTTTTTCATACAAACAATAATTTCTTGCGAGTTCATAAATTAAATGTAACATTGAAGAAAGATCTTACGCTTTTTAAAACTAACCCTGGTTTCATGACAAAACACGACAAACATAACATGCTATAGTTACTACCATGTGAAGATGTTCAAGATCAGGAGAGTTTATTCTAAAATGTTTGTTTTGTAAATTTTCACAGATTGACAAAAGCAAAACACCTAAAAATTTCTCTTGAATGGAATGAAAATATCAACTAATCGTTGTACATACCTGAGAGAATAACTAAAATAAAAAAAAAGCATACAATATTGCACTATAGTTAGTTGTGCACAAGTTACACATCTGGTCACAATTCACAGGATAATTGTCATTGAATGTATCTGAGAAGATGCCATGAAGTTACACACACTTAACTTCAAGTTGTATACCTACCAGCAGTAAAAAGCCTTCCAGCTGCAGAAAGAACGATAGCTCTGCAATCAGCATTATCTCCCAGCTTTTGAAAACATTCACCAACTTCCCTATAAAGAATAACACTTCAAGTTACCAAGTACTATAAGTTATTAACGACAATATGATACTTACAACCACATTTTTCTATTCATTGCATTTAATTTATCCGGCCTGTTGAGTTGGACATGATACACAAATTGTTTAGGAACTGACACTGCTAGTGTTTCGAACTTCGGGATATCAGCGGAATTAGAATACATTGCAACAAAATCTGAAAATTAAACAACGTAAAGCAAATACCGGTCTCATTTGACAACTAATTTATTATACGTGTGTCAATGAGTCCAAACAAAAGTTAAAAATGTAATATACTGGTCACAAAAACACAATCAGCAGCGCTTACTAGGTGAAATCGAACGCAAAGTTTCAAGAGTTCTAGGCCTCAGCACTCGTGAAAGAGCAGACATTGTTGAAATGACTGGCAATTACTCGTATTTCCAAAGTGAGAAAGAAAATATGACTGAACGTTCCGTTTGGAAGAGGAATCGAGGATAGGATTATCGCTATCGCACACGGTGCCACCCCGAGCAGGTAAATCGTATTAATCTTACGTTGTGTCGTTACTCTTTTTATAGTCCGTAAAACATTGGGAGGGAAAACAACAGTTTACGGTATTTTGTAATAAACCGAATCTCTAAATTGATATGAAAAATAAGTATGATATGATGCATCCGATGATGAAACCTGCCCGCTGATTACGTATTTATAAATTTCACCTTTGAAATTGTTATTTTGAGTGCACCGACATGCTCTGACCTTTGCTTTGCAATGACACAAGAGCTTGATCAGAGTCCAATACCAATACGGTATCTACGCTCACTCTGGACACAATATTTATTGTCATTCTATCATTTTAAACGTTCGAATCCATTTGAGGGTGTGGGGACGAAAAAAATGATTGATGGAGAAGAAAATCTATTAAGTTACGTCACACAACTAGACTAAGCCCGGTCGTAAGGCCCCAGCCAGGGCCGTCATTTGCATTGTTATGTTAGTGGTATGTGATTAGTGAATGTTCATGGTGATAATCGTGATAATATAGTAGGGGCTTCCAGGCAAGTCTGTAATAAGCCCCCCCCCCACGGCTACCTGAAGATGGCTGTGCCCCTACACCAGAGAGTATACACCCCTATATAGCCCTACACTGTGTGGACGGTGTATAACGCCAATTTGTCGGGCCGACCGGCCAGTCAATCCAACAAATTGCATCGTGTGGGTGCAAGTTGTCCTACACATAATACTCTCTGAGTTGTCCAATAGAAAAAAAAAAAAATTGTCGGTTGGTCCTGACCCACCATATTGCAAGATAAATTGTGTACAATAGTGTGAAGAAGTGATGGGCCAACGTACAGTGGCTGGTTCGAAAAGGAAAGTTGTTTAATCGGAAGGTTATCTGATATTTGAGGGTTTTGGAGGTCGCTGATTACGAATATGAAGTCGAAAATTTCAAGAAATAAAATTATGGATCAAATTTGGCAGAAAAGTAAATAAAACATAAAAAGCAAACTTCTTTTCAAAATCGGTAATGTTAGCGAATTATGACAATAATTATAAAAATGAAAGCAACATGAAGAAAAGTGATTGTTTTTAATTATAAATTGTAGTACATGCAAAATCATAAGAAAGTCATTATTAAACAGATTAAAAACTCCTTTATTCAAATACGTGTCAGCAATGCAGTTGCAGCGACTTGCAGCAATTTTTGTGATTTTGAAAGGTAATACGTAGTATATACAAGAAAATTGCAAAAAGTATAAATAAATAAGGCAGCGAAAATTAGCTCCAAAACAAATCGATAATCGCGATATTCATATGGAAGAGAATAAAAAATTTAAACTCTTAAAAATTCAGCCTTCTACGGCAATCGATTACAGAGATACAATGAAAAACGTGTTTTTCATAGTTTGTTTTGCTTATATTCCTTGTAAAAATCTGGGAAAAATTGCAGATACGGAGAAGAATATTTTAATTTGATGGCAATTTTGTCAACCTATTTTGACGCCAAAGTCAAATAGATTTTTTTTTTTATATTGATTTTCGACGTGATAACTTTGGAATACTGTCTCAGTTTCCCCCCCTAGAATGTGTCTCATAACATTCTATAACGAATATTTTTTTCAAAATTTTAAACAATGTGCACGATTATTAAAAATGATTAAAACAAATTTTATCAGTAAAATTAAAATTCGCGCCGAAATACAATTGGAATTTCTTTTTTTACCAATTTTTAAACACATATTTATTCGTAACATATGACTCAAAATCTTATATGTTTCGTTGATTATGCACCAAACTCAATCGGAATATCCATTCTAGAAAGAGATGGGTGGGCTCTTGCGCATCGTATCCGACGTCAGCCAATGAGCTTCACGTACCAGTGTGGGCCATAATATTAACGGGAATTATAACGTCATTAAAACAATCAAAGTTTGTTTGTTTTTTAAATATTTCAACTTTTATTTCAATTACACTTTCATCGTGTTATTTTTGGTTGATCACAGAGGAAAACTGCCACTTTATGCCACTTTCAAAACATTTCTCAACATTTTTCGCTCTTCATGCAACAGTTTTTTCTGTTTTCTGCCTGAATAAATCTAAATCTAAATCTTAGATAGAATATAGTACTAAAGAGAAAAGGGGTTTCTATTAAAATATTAAAACTACCAAAGGCTAAATATATCTTTCCTTACAATTTCAATAAAATTTAATTATTAATTAAAAATGTAATTATTAAATTTGCCCGTGGGCGGATTTAGACACTGTAGGCCTTCAAGCACAAAAAGTATGGGCACTCCTGCACAAAAATATTTAAAACTAATTATGAATAAATCTAAAAAACACTATAATAGAATAAATCATTGTTCCAATACAAATGTAAAGTTACATATTATTTACAAAATATAAATCGCTTTTTAAATTTCTAATTTACAATTACATGTTTGGTTTCTTATTATTCCATGTTTTTCCATTCCAATGGTTTATATTAACTCCCGCAAACAGTATTTTATCATTGCAACACATCTGAAGCCACTAAAAAGTCTATTTCTTTCTGTATTGAATACCTACTTAGTAGCTCTACAGATTGAGGTGCTGATCTATGCTAAAGATTGCTGCTTTGAGTCCTGTGTAAGCAACTGTGATGCAAAAGGCAATGACAATCAACTGAGTGTTTACATAATAAAAAAGATAATATGAATAATTTTCGATTAATTGAATAAATACTCATTGTTCAGGAACAAAAAAAAACAGACATACGGTACAATTCAAAATAATAGTACTGTACTGAATGTAAAAAATTCTATGAACTCTCAAGATCACCCATTTTCTCATAGAGAGACATCAAAGTGAATCATTGGGAGTATTAATTGAATGAAGATTTCCATTTAGATCGTACTAATTACAGCTTTTATGCATATCTGATTACTATCAAACGCAATGTGCTCTAGGATTGAGGATATTTTAATTGCTGCCAGAAGATCCAGAGGATTGTATGAACTCTTGCGGTTTGTCACTCGATTTGAATGAAGCGCGTTGCGAGCGCGGTGTTGCCGAGTTGCGCGTCACAGCCCCACTCTAGAAAGCGCGCGAAACTCCCCCTTTGGACTGATATAGACTCATAATTTGGAAAACTCTCCCATCTGAAACGGTAGATTTCCTTCTAGTTGTGCATATTGATTCTTCAAGATGCTATCAAAAGAAGAGTTTTTAATATGTTCAACAGCTAATTTACTCACAATTTCAAAATTTCAGGTCAGATCTGTAAGATCACCATAAGAACCCATGTAAAAACAGCAAACTTTCGGTCTCGTTACGCGGAAACTAGACGGTAAAATCGATTAAAACTCTACCAGAACATAGAAGAACCTCTCACCTTTCGATTAATACAATACAAATGGCATGTTTAACGTAACACTTATCTCGCTCTAACCACCTTAAATAATCATTTGTATACAGTGCAATAATGTATTTCTGTTTAGGCAATTCGAACTCGTTAAACAGAAGGTTTACAGTTACGAATGTTTTAAATATACAATATCGTCCTCCATATGCCAAAACAACGAATGTGCATTTTGTTAGTTTTGAGAAAAAGGCCATCGAAACTTTGAGGCCCGTGGAAAATGACATATTTGCAAAATATGTGAATATTTGTGTGTCAATACGCCTCATTAGTAGTTAGAATAATGTGTATTGCAGAATGTTATTTTAAATGTGATTACACTCTTCTCTATAACTTGATTTTGACAAATCCGTGGTTGTGGTATGATTCAAAATTCGACTGTTGCATTTTGATTTACACACAAAAATCAAAATTCCATATATCCACAGATGTGACATACATTTTGTATACATGTAAACGACAAGACAAAAAATCAAGAATGTGATATATTCATTTTTATGCTATAAAATAAAGTACAATGTGCACTTTCGCGGAAATAAGACTTTCTGTAATTCACCAAGGAATAAAGGTACAAAATTCGCGATTCTTGTTCGATTAAGATCATTGAATTTAGTTGCCAGTCATGGGCTTATCACGAAATCTCAATTTTAGCACCTGTGTGATTTTGGCATATGGAGGACAATATAATTAAAGAGCTCACTGCTGTGTGTAATGTTAAACTGATTCAATTCGCTTTACAATATAATCATACCAACCTGAATGCGCAAAACCGTCATTAAGTTAGAATATCTGTGGTGTTTAATAATACTTCCAGTAAAGCCAACTGTAGCACAGAGAACACGAAATCCAAATCGAATAAAGCTGCTTGCCTTGAGAAGTGAGAACGCTTGAGACTGAGTGGTTAATAGTTCTTTATTGGAGCCTTATGTGCAGCTGCAATACTTACGTGCCCGTACTATTAATCTTAGAATTTGTTTCATAATTGTACAGTAATTTCAGCATGATTTTCTACAGAAATATCTGAAGACTATTTGAAATCAGTGAAGGCTTGTTACATGTTAATGTATCAAGCAATTTAATGGAAAAGTTGCTTTGAAATGCCAATCGGTTAATCTGTGTCAAAGGTTGTGACCTGATCTCGTTTCCCAAAGTTTGACAATAAAAAGATCGAGACCTTACGTAAGTAGCCACATTAAATATTACTACCGAGCGAAACGTGTCCGAAAGTATTTTGTGAATCAAGTTAAAATTTCACACACAATTAACGCCAAATATAATGATTTGGTTGTTTCTTATATCTGCAATATACCCAACTTTTGCTCAATTATCGAATGACCCAAATCAACTTCAAAATTGGTGTTTGGATGCCAAACATCACAAAAGTAAGCCAGGGCCAGAGGATGAACTTCATAAGCAAGTGAGTGCATCATTTAATTATATATATAACATTATATTGATATATAAATATAATATAAATCCTTGATTATATGTAAATTATTTATAAATACTATTTTTTAAAAATATTTTCCAGTGTGTGCCTTGGAAAGAAAGGGCATGCTGTACTGCAAACACTACTAGACACCTCCATGTTGCAAATTTGTACAAATTTAATTATAACCATTGCAGTGAACATAGAAATATGTCTGAATCTTGTCGTAGACATTTTATGCAAGATGAGTGTTTTTATGAGTGTTCACCAAACATTGGTCCATGGGTTGTCAAGGTCAATATATTTTTCTTTTATTAAAATTTAATATGGAATGAAATGCAGACCAAAGTTGCCAATGTCTTGCCCTTGAAATATTTTGGGATTTTTTAAATACATTCTTTACAGATAGTTTTCTTCATTGGATTGTAGGTTTCTATGAAAATTAGAAATGAGCGATTCTTTGAAGTTCCTTTGTGTGCAAGTGATTGTAATGCTTGGTTTGATGCTTGCAAAGATGATTTCACGTGCAGTGAAAAGTGGACTGACCTGATTGTTAAAGATGGACATCTTACTCCATGCCATAATCAAAATGAATGTAAAACATTTGCAGATGTGTTTAAAACTTCCAAAAACTTTTGTGAAAAGGTGAGTACCTGTGTTTCTACAAGGACATGTTCATTAATGCCTGGTTAATGTGTAATTCTTTTAACATTTAGATATGGGATCACTCCTGGAAATATACTGAAGATACAGATCCGTGCATGCGGATTTGGTTTGATGGAAGTAAAGGTAACCCCAATGACAGGATTGCACAGTATTATATACAAACATTACTGGGAAACGATGCAGTTTCAAATAAATTGTTTGATTGGCTCACTATAACTGTGCTATATCTCGTTGCAAATGTATTAATTTAGAATTTGATGAAACATATTAGTATTTTAAAATGTAGTTTAGAAGGCAAGGAATTGCTTCGTTATTCCAGCAAAACCGTCCATAGCTTACTGCTCAGTTAAAATGCAAATAAGACCTAGTACACAGTTGAATAGAATGTTCAAATACTTTAATACTCCAAATCATGAATGTTAAAATACTTTTTTGAAGATTGTTATTCTATTTTTTTTATAGCACTGTTTGTACATTATCAAATTTTGACAAATTAAATATTTGTTTTCTAAACTTGCTTCATTTCTTGACCTAAATCCTGAAACAATTTTTAGGAAACTATTTGCAGTTACAAATGGCAACGATGTTGGCGTGTAGTTGCTGTACAAGAAAACCAAAACTGAAAATTCTAAGCGAATGCTTGTCCCAGAACTTGTAATATATGCCACTTACTCCACTCATTGGCTCTAGTGCTTGCCAATTAGCTGTAGTGGGTGGGGAAAACTATTCAGTATGGTAATTTTTGTAAATACAAAGCTAACACCAAAGTGACTAAAATAAACAATTTCTATTTTTTAAAGGGTTTGCTAATGGATTAAATTGATATGCATAAGTACAGAGACCCTAAATCCATAATTAAAAGCTGAAGCTTGCTCCCATTTACTTTTCAATTGAACTGTTCATAAAACACGATTTTTTTTGGTCACTTTAAATCGTGAATACAATGTGATGCATCTTTACGAACTGTAGTAAGGTGGTAATAAATGAAAAGCAAAGGGGGAAACAAAGAAAAACTTTTCAAAGATTATATAATTTTTAATTGTGTTCAAGAACTTATTACCACACAAATATTTCAACTTTCTGAAGACTTAATTCAAAAAAAGAAACAAAGTTAAGTATCCTAGTTAATAATGTTACAACACAAGACTTTCTTCTAAATGTCCACAAATGAGTAATGTATTTCAGGTTACGGATAGACAATATCACTGAAAAAAAGTCACAAACTATTACGGAAAGCCATCATCATCATCCTCAGCCATTTCCTTGGCTAATTCCATATCTTGTTGCTCTCTCTCTCTTCTTTCCTCTGCTGATTCCAAGTCTTTTCCATAGGATTTTGGTGGATAGCGCATAGCCTTTACACTTTGATTATGCAGATCCAAGCAGAAAGCAATTCGCTGATGAAAGGCAAGTTGAGGTTCACGAGTACAGTAAATATCTGTGGTTTCCTTGCTTCGCATGTACCCCCTCTCTGGATCTAAAGTAGCTTCAATCACACCATCTCGAATTGCCTTTGCAACAATGAATTCAGCATCTTCAGGAGAATCAAGACCCAGTTTCTTTGCTATATCTGCAGGGGATATGCGAGAATATGACAGGCCCACAGATCGAATGGCAGTCTTGATAACATTATGCCGAAGGCGCAGAATCAAAGTGAATGTATGATCAGCACGAAACTGAGGGCCAAAGTTTTCTAAAACTTCCCCAAAACGCTGTAAATTACCCATTCTTACAGCTTGTGTGAGCTGAAAGTATGGAGCAAGAGACCTCCTCAAAGGAGCTTGGCGAAATATTTGTCTTTCAGGTATGTCTCCAAGTAAAAGTTCTACAGTTACTGCAAGTTTCTGCACTGTTTGACGAAAGCCTACAGCAGCATTTTGAGGTGCTTTCCTTAAAGCTTGTACTAAATGCTTGTGAGCAGCAGAATATTCAAGTCTTGCTGCTTTAATACGGCCCAAGTAGTAAAAGAATCGAGCCCACTCATTGTTACTGGCAGATTCAGGAAATACAGATTTTGATACAAGTTTATCTGCTTGATCATATAAACTGTAGTGTAAATAATTTCGAAGCAAGCAATTTATTAATACAGCCTGGCCCTCGAAATCATTTCGCAAGGTTGCTGTACGAAGCCGTGAATGTAAGATGCCCCGAATGTTTTCAAGTTGATTGGTTAATTCATAACTTCGGGAATGATAAAAGTAACATTTGGCTGCCACAAGATCCAATGTACGTCGATTCTGTGCTGTTACTTTCTGCAATAGAAGGTTGGAGCACTGAACTGCTTCTTCATACTTATGACTGTCAATTAATTTTAAAAGAACAAGTAAGTGGATATATGCATCTACTTCTGGTAATAGAGGAGTAACTGAGCTTCGGCCACTTCGCACGCGATGGGAACCTGAACTCTCAGTTTCCATAGGTTCTTCCACAAAAGCCAATAGGGCATCTTTATCTGCAGCTGAATGAGTATAAAAGCCAGATATAATGCCACGCAGTACATTAGGATTCAATTTTCTTCTAGTATTAGGAATAGATCTTAATACTCTAAGAATAAATCGGGGTTCTTTGTTCTGAACTGCTTTTTCAATTTGCCTTACATGCTCTCTGATGTCTTGAATGCTAAGTAGATCAGCATCTTTCTTGCTGTCACCTGCTTCTCCTTCAGCAGCAGGGCTATCAGCATTCTTCATTTCAACATCAGTCTGTTCTGCTAAAACCACCATTTTTTCCGTTTAAATGTACGCCGCGTGTATATGCCACTCCTGTAATACAGATGAATCAACAAAAAATGTATTTACTAAAACAGCAAGATAAAATCTATCGAAGGTAGATATAACCTCATCGACAGTGTAGTAAAGCGGTACGTCAACTCAAAAAATATTAATACATTTTCTATTACATTTTCTGTGGAAAAAAATCATTTATTTATTAATCATACCTGAATGTATTTTACTCGGGTTTCACGATTAACGGTGTGAATGTACTATTTTCCTAACTTTCGATGACAATTCAAGAAAACTGCTGCGTAACATCAGAGAATATGAATATCATTCAAAGAATAAATAGAGGCGTTTGTAGGGTAAAAATTTCCCTTGTATTGTTAAATTCCCGAAAAAAACAAATGAACAGAGAAAAATTACCTTTTTACCTAGTAGTCAGCTGTTTAAGTGTAAAGTTGGTGAAAATGAAATTAACGCATGCAGTGAATCCAGTGAATGTCTGAGTTGGTGGTGTGGTGGCGTAATCGGGCAATTTGTCCTGTTATCCTGGACTTTGTCTTGACTCCTGATTTTGGCGGGGGTGTGGTCCGTCTGGTTTCTACAGTGGTCGGTGCAGGTGGTGAAGCGGTGAAGGCAGTGAAGATCAGAGAAGTTATCGTCTTCTGACTCTCAGACTGTGCATGTTGCGTTAACAAAATGGCAGGTGTTTCGAGGTTAACTATATCCGTATTTTCAGTCGCGTTGGTAATTACCGTCGGTGAATTGTTCGTTAACCCAGCAAATTCTCCATCGCATAGCAAAGAAATCCCATCGACAAGATTGGGTGTTAATTCTTATATAGGACCTACCTTGAAGTTCTTATATTGGTACGTAAGTTATTCTATGTAGCCGATTTCAGCTACTTCATGTTTCCTTTAGTTTGATTTTATGTAGTGTTGTTAAGAATGGTAAAGCGACTAGTAAGTTTAGAAATAAGGTGTTTCGAGTGTACAGTTCAGTGACGGGATAATGTTTAAACTATTTCGATATCACCACTCGCGGAAATTATTACAGTGGCAACACAATTTGTAGAGTATGGATGTTTTCTATGAAGATTCTTGAAGCTGTGGTCATAGTGTACATGTTGCCTATTTAAGCAAGTACATTTTTACTTAGCTTTTCATCGTTTAAGATGTAGTCATGTTTTTGCAGCTGAATTTTAATGCAAATTTTGAAAAAGTAAAATACATGTAAATGGCAAGCTTATGAATTAATGTTGTAATTTACCAAACCAGACATTTTTTAACATTGTGTTCTTATAATTAAGTAATAAAAGGGGAAAGGGAACACTGTTGCATGGGAAGATACTGTATTAGAAAGTTTAAACTTCCTAGCCACGAAAGCCTATATTGTTTTATACATTTGCAAGTTGTTTATGGCATATTGTATGAATATACATATAAAATTGTGTGAAGAGCTATACCATGTAATAATGTGTAGCTGTTTTTGAGTTTGAGTCAATAAAATAATATAGAGCAATAAACTTTACATAACCGAAGTTTGGCCTTCATCAGGGCAACAGAACGTATACAACGTATGTATACATGAATATGGAATGAACATTTCATTATAGCTTTAGTACAATTTTAGTATGTGAACATATTAATTTACCTGTAGGGTTTTTAATGATGTATGTTCTATCTCGCATAAATCATATAAGATTTCAACTCTGTGGTAATCATTATGCAAGTTGTGCATCCATCTCTTTTAGCATTAGTTATGATAGTGTTGCCATGTCAACCATGAACATATACGAAATTGGTTTGCTTTACATGGTCAACACAATTCAGAAAACACCCAAAAACACAATTTGCATACAAAAAACACTTGTGCGCACACACAATTCAACAATAATGTTGCAACAAAGATTTCTTTTTTAATAATGGAATTGTTGATAGAAAGTTATGAATGAATTAGTGTGGTAATGGTACAACAATTGCCAAACGTGTATTATTTATGAATTCTATTATGTGTCCAATCAAAACGCACACCAGTCTATCAGAATAAACTATATTAAATAGTTATTACTCTATTTTGTAAATTTGTGAAAAATAAACCTTAGTATTATATTTATTTGTATAGTAATAGTACAAAAGTTGCCAAATACGTATTAATTTGAAATATTATTGTGTGAGTAATCAAAATATGCACTAACTTACCAGAATGAACTAGATTAAATAGTTATTACCCCATTTAGCACTTGTAACCGATACACAAGTATTATAGTTAGAATAGCAAATGTATGTCGGTCAATAAACTTATGTTAATAAAGGAAGTTACAATTTAAATTATGAAGCAAAGCAGTTTTGTGTGAATGATATTAATATAGTTAATGGATTAGCAATAATATAATGTACTAACAGCTTCACTTCATAATTTAAATTGTACTTTCCTGTATTAGCATAAGACTGACATATATTTGCTATTCTAAATATAATACTCATCCATCTGTTACAAGTTAGCAAAATGGTGTAGTAACCATTTAATATATAGTACAATTTATTTAGTCGTGCTCTTAAGGTAAATCAGCTGTAGCGATTTCATCCAATTGGGAGCTTGTATATCATTACAGTGATGTCACTGTGGGGACATTCAAGCTCTGAATCAGATGAAACTGTAAACAGCTGATTTTCATCAAGTGCATGGATAAATAAATCCTAGTATAGTTTATGCATAAGTTAGTGCATATTTTTCTTAGACTCACTATAATATTCAAAACTGAATACCATGTTTGGCAAGAATTGTACTATTACCATACTAATGTTCATTTGTCACAAATTTACAAAATTGTGTAATAACTATTTAATATAGTTTATTCTGATAAATACTAAGGCAGTTTACTTGGCCTGGCTCAAGGGAGTAAATCATGGAGCTTGAAACTGGGTGAACAAAGCATATTGACTTGCATTAAGTGTTTTGGAATTGGGCTATTTCCAGAGTGGCACACCAAGATTGCTGGGTTATCTTCTCTTAAGAATCAATTTTGGATGAGTTGTCTTTGCCAAAAAATGAATGGAAAAAAAATTTGTATATTCCTCTTTGTTGTAATTTTATAGTTTCTAAATTTGAAATTTTTGCGCCTGAGATTTTTAATATGTCATCTATGTATATGTAGGAAAAAATGTATTTTAATTTGTCCATGACCAATTTTTATTTCAGTTACTCATGAGGATATCGAGCACTCTTTGAACAGTATGCAACAATTCTACGTCAAAAATATCCTGAAATCCTTATTGAAGGCGATCTCTATCCTCCTCCCAATTACAATGCCATGTTGGCTCAAGCCGTAGTAAGTAGCGAGTTGTAATACAAAGAATGCTGAAATGCATATTGAATCATATGGGCCTAAAGATTTTTTTCTTGCAGGGTGTTGCCAAAATACTGTTCATAGTGTGTATCCTCAGTGGAGCCAATTTATTTAACTTCATTGGTCAAGAGCAACCTGCTTGGTATTTATGGTGCATAAATAATAAAATTTATTCCTGTATGATGGTATTTTTTATGTGTAATGCTATTGAAGGCCAGTTGGTATCAACAGGTGCTTTCGAAATTTCTTTTAATGGTAAGATTGAAACATTTATTTTACTTTTCCTAACGACTTACTGAATTTTAAAATTAAAATGTCTTATTGCAGATGTCCCAGTTTGGTCCAAGTTGGAAACTGGAAGAATTCCACAACCACCTGAACTATTCCAAATAATTGATAATCATCTTAATTTTCAGAAACAGAGGTGAAATAAAAAGTGATGTTTTTTAACCTGCTAAATCACCGCATTGCACTTCAAACCCTGTATATAATTCTGCATCTTAGTTCACTGTAGTAAGGGCCTCTATGGTAAAGTATGATAGCAACTTCATAAAGCAGTAATATGCTGCTGGAAGTCGCTGGAAGTTTATTACCAGAGAAGAAATTACTTCAGAGTTCCAAGGTGTTAGAATATTGTTGTGCATATATTTATTGTAGTTGTTTGTGGTAATGGAGAGTTTAGAAATAAAATATTTGTATCATTTTCTGCATTACATCTTATTGTAGGAAAAATTGTTTTGTGAAATATATACAATACTTGTGCAAGATGTCAATGTTTACATTATGACTTATGATCATCTGTTCCATAGAGAACAATGTGTGCATCACAAATTAAATTTATAGCATTAATATGAATACAGTAAAATCCTTTTATTCCCATATACTCAAATTTTTAGTGATCCTTTCGCTTTCAAAATTAGTTTCCTCCTAACTTTCACTCTTTTTCCCCTATGCAAATGCCAGAGATGACCCTGGCAAGTATTGTCCTGGGCAGTTTTTGCTTTAAAACCTATTTTCAAAATGGAAATCCAGGTTGCATTGTTTCATATATTGCTGATGCATCTGTCAGTACGTAACTTAAGTATGTACTTTACTTTCAATTTCACTATTGTCCTGGCTAGTGAAAACCCACAATCTGCAATTCTGCCAAACCTGGTGATTTTTCCCTTTATCGATGCTCCCCCCCTCTTTTAGATTATTTAATTTAGCTTTTTATATTCTTTCTAGATACCGAAATCATTGATTGGTATCAATAAGTCTTCAAATTTAGATGAGAAATCTTGAAACGGAATTAAGTTCCAATAATTGCAGTGATTTTTCTTTAAAGGTTAAATATTATCAATGGACATGGATAATGTATGTAAACATGCATAAATAATTTCCCACAACTTATGCATCCCCCCCCCCCCTTCCGACTTGGGAGGAAAAAAGGTGGAGGGTTGTGGACTTTTGCTGTTTGAGTAAAATTAAAATTGAAGGTAAACACACTGGATTTCAGAAAATCGTGTGTGAACTAATTCAACCGGAAGAAGTTGTCATATACATTGCCAGTTAACTGAAGGGTAGACTGGACATCAACTATTACATAAAGTGGTTATTCATCAAGGTTAATACATAGTTTCAGTTATTGGCATAAAACAAATGAAATTAAATCTATGAAGTTTCACATCGAAGACAATGTTCCTGAAATACATGATTGCCTGTGCACTGTACCATTTTTTCTTTATGCTTGACTGTTGGCTTCAGCAGAAGCTTGTTTCTGCACAGCCTTGCTACAAACCCTGCATGCATTCTAAAGCAAACCCTAGACTTCAGTGATAACTATTCAGCAGGGTTACTTTTTATGGAGTGGAATTTTGATTTTGGAGGGGGGGCATTAAAGCAAGGCACTGCAATTAACTGATACTAAACACTGGATTTCAAATACCCATACAGTGCGGTTACTTTCAATGAAGTGAAATTTTGATTTTGGGGTCATAAAAGCAGGGCACAAGTACTATGCTTAACCACCTCCTCCACTTTCGCACTCTTGAGTTAGTAGCAAAGGAAGACTTCATCACTTGGAAAAGCCACTGGTATAGCATGTCACTACTGTCAGTGTTGTCACATGTTCAAATGTCAAACACAAAGAAGTTTGGTACAACAGAATTTACTCAACTTTTTTCCAATGCTGCAAGTGTTAAAAGAAAGATGACACTTCACTAGAATTCCTGGAGGCATACCTGTGTCTGTATATTGACTTTCCACACCTTAATATTAATTTGTGCACATTGTCTTAACAGTACATCTATAAAAGATTGTTTGAATGTATTACAACCACAGCTCAATTGTATGTGAATAATGTATATAGGAAAAAGAAAAATACAAATGTACATTGGCCTTTGGTATTTTTTTCCATTGGTTACATACAGGTATTGTATTTACTTTAAAACATGTTAAATAAGGCTCAACAGCAATCTCCAAAAAACAAAACAAACTAAAGTACATTACAATTACGAATCTTATTTGTACACATCCTTTTGAAATTCCAAAAGCCAACATTTTGTTATTAAGAAATAGGTTACAAGTGGTGCACAAGTGGCACAAACATTCAATGTCAAGCTGTACAAGTACCTATTTCTGCAAGAATTATATCCTGCACAGCGTAATTAATAAGACACAGCAGGAGCTGCCAGCAACTCGCTTAGGTGAATCCTAGCGATCATAATTTTCATGAAAATCATTGATTTGTGTTCCACCTGTGCATTTCTACAAAATCAGTGAAATCCATTCAAAAATTCAACCAATATAATTTATATTAAATTACATTTTTGTGTAGGAAATGCAGTGGTTAAGATTACTTACATCTACAAGAAACTTATGACCTAAATAATTATATTTTGAAGACAGCACTGCAACAAATAAAGCGTTCTCTGCAAAACAATTCACAAAAAATACAAAATGTGTCTTTGTACCAGCTAAAACAGGCTGCAAATCCTTCAAGTACTTCCATCTGAATTATCAAAAGCCACACAGCTGATTTTATTGAACATAATGCAGAGAAAAATGTTAAAACTGTCACTAAAAGTTCAAATTACACCTTTCTGCCACATTTTCTTTTTCACACATATCCTTACATCACTCATCAGCACTTTATAGATTTCTAGTCAACCTTCACCACACTATAAATCTTCCTCACAAACCAGAAACAGGCGAAGAAACCAATAGTGCCTATAGATAGGGGGAAAACAATGATTTGAAATTACAAATATTAAGATAATCGTAAGTAATCCACATACTGTTGTATAATTGATAACAATTACCTGTTAGTAGGAAGAATAGAAACACTATAATTAGGGTGTATCCGAAGTAAAGAAAAGTGGAAGCAGCATCTTCTATGTTCAACTTGGTCACAAAATAATGGTTGCAGTATACAAATAAGTAAAATGCAGTAAAACCACTTGTAAGAAAACTGCGCCACCACCAATGATAATCCTGCACAGAAAAGTTTAACATAGAAAATGTTTGTAATCACTGTCATCTTCAATGTGGAAACACATTGTAATTTGCTTTAGGACAATTTTTGTTAGTTTCTGGTATCTCTTTCAAATTAATTTTTTTATAATGGCTGTCAGGAAGTGCTATCAACTCAAATTAGTAGTTTCTGCCTTGGTTGCTGGTGTGCCACCACAACTTTAATTCCTTTCATGGATTCACTGTTTATTGTGGACAAGTGGATTGTGAAATATCATTTCTCAATTAGTTATTCTTTGAGCAGTGATTTATTTAATGTTCCCTATCAGTTCGTTCCTGTCTGAGGTTTGCAGTCCTGCTGACATACAGAGCACTCGGTCAAACACTTATCAGGTGTGTGTACATTACTAGTTTCATAAGCATCATCCAAGTTTCACACATTGTCAAATGTGACTGGGTAGGTTTGTTAGTAGTTAGTATTAGTAGGTTTGCAAACCTTGTTGCGGCTTGTGCAAGTATTAAAGTATGCAGCTAGAATACTGTAATTTTGGTTATTTCTATTCTCATTGATTGCAAGTGCAATGTTTATATAAATTTGGCAAGTTACAACATTGCAATAAGAATTCAGTGTCATGTAGTGATGCCATCTTGCATTAGGTGAAAGAGACTATGAAAATTTAAAATTTAGGACAATCCAAGTGCACTAATGTTTTTTAGAAAAAATTAATGCAGTTACGGAAAATGTAAATGACCTAGAAAGCTGAGCCAATAATTGAAAGAAGGAAATTGGATAATTTAGAACTAAGAAGAGAGGAAGTAGACTAACATTTTTCCACATCTGAGAAACATTAAATTCACAGGATATCTAATTACAACTACAGTATTTCAAACAGAATTTAATCCACAAATCATTCTTATTTACCAGTAAGATACTAAATAAGATTTCCAAGGATGAGGAAGCTCCCATGAAGCTGAGAATGGAGAAGGTAACTAGCCAGCAAGACAAGTGCTCCACAAATAATCATATACCAACATGACCATACATTATGTTCAGAGTGTTTTGACTTTTCCTGAGGGCAGGATGGACTTAACAACCTTTTTTCTGGAAGGGATGGTGATCAGGGCCATTTTGACAGCATTGGGGGCCCCTTATTCTTACTTTCACTGATTCCGGTTTTAAGTGGAAAGACAGAAGATAATATTTCACTGCGCCATTCGATTTCAGACTACGATTTTCTGTCAAATGCCTATTCTATCATTCTGATTGCATTATTCGAGTTTTAAATTTACAAGTTACAAATGTTAATGTGGCTATAAGTGAACAGCCTGTCTGCAAAAGACTGTTTTATAAATTTGTGATTTAGCACTACTCTAATTAACTAGTATAGAATGCCTATCGTGCACATGAAAGAACTTTTAAAAATTACAAAGTAAACCTATGGTGTCATCAAGAGGAGAACAAATGCAAAGCATGCACAATGGTAAATAGGTTCAAGAGGCGGAGAATGCGGTATGGACAATAGCGTGTTTGCTGAACGGAGAGGCGGATAGTGCCGAAGCTGAAGGGAATGGCCTGGTGAATGGCCCAGTGGTAATCTTGCCACCACAACGGAGTAATTGGCTATCTGCAGCTGTTGGCAGATGCTTAATGGGGAGAAAATCAGGAAAGCAGTAAATCACTAACCCGTACAAAATTGTTTGAAAAATGTAAAAGTAGGGTAAAACAATTTGTATAAATAGCAAATTAATAGAATCCATGGTAGGTTTCTGAGGTGTTGATAGATGGCAGGAGTGAAACAAAACCAATAATGTAGTCCTGGCTTGAAATAAAGAGGAAACTTACAGAACAAGGAAATCTTTGGTGTTTTGTAGCAACACTGGTTTCTAATGAAAAACATTGAGGGTTTCCAACATGTAAAAATGCTTGTGCCTCAATCCATGAAAATATAACTCTATTAAGACATTTTGTCATCCTAGTCAAATGGCATGTGGTCTACTATGACAGATCACAGTAGTTGAAGGAGGAACGATCAACTTTCCTGTCTTCAAGACTCTCCTCCACATATCACATTACACAATTCTTATTCAGACATCAGCCACAATGGAATTTAAGTTCAGTGAAATTTATCAAATCCCTCTTTTCTTTATTTCATCATGTCTTTCAGACATATTCTCTTTTTCGCCTGTATCTCACAGTTAAGCAGTACTTCACCATTAAACAAAATGGTTTACATCTTTTAAATATCTGAAAATATTAAAAAGAATTCAAAGCTGTTTTCTAGACTAAGGTATAATTAGGTCATCCTACCTGCTTTATTGGTTGGTTCCATTTCACAGATTCAACAACCTTATAAACCAAAAACCTTGTAAGGGTTCTAAGACCATTACATTAAAATCTCCACTACATTCATAATAATTTGCCATCACTTCTGCTCTAATTTATTTCAATAATTTCAAAGAGAAGAATACCAGAACTATTGTTGGGAAACAAACCATAACCTTTTGATCGTCATGCATTTGCACCTGGCAAGTCATTATCAGAACTAGTGCAACTAAGTCTGTTCTCGCTACTTATCCATTCAGCCCCTAAGCCTCTCTCAATCCTCACCCCCAGTCTCATCTCGGCCTATCCTCAATTGTCACCAGTCTCAACACCTTAAGCTCAAGCCAGCCCCCTCAGCATCTATTCTTACATTCCTGTCTCCACCCCATCACCAGTTGTTCTTGCCCCTTCCCTTCCGCAGTCTCTTTACGCCTTTGTCAAAACTCCTCATCCTGCTTTCATCCTAGGTTTCCTTCCGTTTTAGAAGTAAAAATAAACTCTTGTGTCAACTCTCCATAAATTGTAGAACTTTTTTAATTGCAACTCACCTCAGCACATAGATGAAAGTAGCAGAGCAAAATAGTTGTCTCAGAACACGTGATCACCAATATAATAAATACCAAAAATAAGAAACCAAACATGTAGTACATCTGACTAGACCTGCACAAAGATTACATTTCATTACACTTAAAAATAAAATATAAGAAACATTAAAAATTGGGAAAGAGGTCATTAACTTGAAAATACCAACCACAATGAATTTAGTATGAAGAAAAGTTGAATGAAGATGCAGCCAAAGGGTAAAACACCACCCATAATAATGCCAGGGAGTGGCTGAGTGTAAATGCTCTGCTCGGGGATCTTACGAGGGATTTGATTGGTGCGCACAGGATGTTCTATTGGCTATGAATAAACAAGCATAAAAAATATGAATAATTAAAACATTTTCAGAATTTTAAACAAATAAACATCCAGTAAATCACTATCCTTCACACATCCAAATTCTCTCCAGTAAACAACTTTTTACATTCAATTCCACTAACAAATTTCTTTGTGCGTCAGTTCTCCTCATGACTGTAAGTTTCTTTTATTCTTGAAATAAAGGACATTCAATAGTATAATGGTCCTGATTTGTTTTCACAGGGTGTATCTTTCTACACCATCTCTTATTCTTTTTACAAAGTTGGCTCCACATGATCAGTAAGGGATTTTTACATCCTAGAAGGCTCGAGAGATTCCCCACCAAATGGAAAAAGTGTATTATGGTTTTACAATTTACAACTGCCAGGGAACTAAAAAGAGATTCTTATTACTTTATGTTTTTAAACAATGTACTTCTATTTGTACTTTTTTCATGAAACAAAAACTTTACTCTATAGTAAAATGGAAATATAGATATTTTAAATGATAAGTATTAATGTATTCTTATGACCAGAGCTTGAATATGCAAGCACAAAAGCATTGAAAAATAAGCAGCCAAATAGGCAATACAAAATTTTAAAATAGGTATTATAGTGGCAAGTAGACAGGAAAATTGTCACAAAAATTCCTCAATAAGCACAGTAAAATACTAAATATAAGAATTTAGTCATAACACACCCACAAAGGATGAAACTCCATTAGCATATAGAAAGAAAGTACATAAATACAATTTTGATATATATTTTGCACGGTACTCAATTAAAACATGTTCCAAGTTTTCAATAGTGAACGAAAATCTTCTTTAATTCAAAATTTCTTCACGATAGAAGAACGTTCTCCCTGCATAGTTGGAGAACAATATTTCACTAAAGCACTATGCTCAGCCACATTGAAACATTCTTTTAATAACTACATTTCAGTCGTAACATATAACTCACCCGTTTTCTGAAGCCAAAGTATGCCCCAATGAAAGTGAGAGGTACAGACACACCAAACCATAGTGCAAGGAGAGCAATGAGTGTGCTAAACGGAACTGCAGCTGAACTGCCCTTGCCCCACAGAACCAAGTTCATGATGAAGAACAAACAGAACACAACTCCTGGACTAAGCATAGAGGTCAGCAAAACATTGGACTTCCATTTCTCTCCTCCAAAGCTCTTGTATATACGAGCTGAGACATAACCAGCAGGGGTGCCCAAACACACAAAAAGTACCATGGCACATGTCATCAGAGCTCCCCGATTTGCTGGCGATAAGAAACCCAAACAGGCAAAAGCTGCAAAGAAAGTAAACATACATTAATACAATGCATGCATGGCTATTTTAGCAACCAAACATTATTACTTGGGCAGTGGTCACAGTGGAGCAGATTTTGTCCGATGTGCCCAATTCGTTCAAATACATGCTGCTGAACAGAAATAGTCACAGTGTACCTGATCAACCTTTTCTGACTGTGATAAAAACATTGGCTATTGGACAAAGATCTTTTTTGTTTGATTCTGTCAGTTCCAGGCGCCCCAAATCAGCTGGAGAGTCAAGGCCATCTGCAATACATGTAGGTCTTGAGTGTGCTTCTCACAAATATTTAAAATAATGAGATATAGAATTATGGGAGTATTTAGTCAATTTCAGCTGCAACATTCAGGTGTTTTTGGATGAAATAATTTCAGACGATTTTCATAGCTGTCCAGCTATAAATGGTCAATATTTTGAATGCATTGTGAATTCACCACAGTCTTATACAACATCAACTTTGTATGCAATAAACATCTATAACAGATGTCTTCCATAGAAAATGTATCGTCATCATATAAATACCTCTCACATACTTCAGAGTGGAATCCAATTACATTTCTTTTACATGCCATTTAAATGTGTATTAAATTTGATTCTGAGACTGATTTAAAAAAAAATTGTATCTACTAAAGAAAACTTTCTACTAAAAGTACTTACAATTAATTTTTTCAATGACAATACAAGAAAATGCAAAAGAAAAATGTAATTTGCTATTAAAACACACAGTGGTGCAACAATGTCATGTTTTGCGTACTGAAATGTAAATGGAATAAGATAATCTTTGTTTATCTTATAACCCATTTGGGTTTATTTACCTTTATAACCAAACTCATGAAATGTCAATGATATAGGGAGTTTTACATATTAAACAAGTTTGTTATCGAGTTGACACCCTAAATGAATTCTGTTAAAAGAACCCTAACTTCAAAAAAATTTATATTCAATATTGGTGGAAATCTTACCATCTAGCTGCTAGGGATGTTGATGTACTGACAGAAGTTTTACCATAAGCCCAAAATTATTTTTCGGAATTAAGGACCCACAAAACATTGATTCTGACTAATCACGTTAGAAAAAGTGATTTAGTACATAAAAGGAACAAAATTATCCTCTTTTTTGTTATTGGCATCCACAAATATCGCTACTTTGCAGCATTAAAATACTTTTTCTATACTACATATGTATAATGCCTACCAAAAGAATAAGGACACTTTCTCATCACATTCCTGCAAAGTGTTCTTATACATTTGATTTATCATTATGCCTTAAAAACAACCACCTTTGCAATACGAATAAACAAAAAGAAGGAGTAGAAGAAGAAGAAGAAGACCGAGGAGAATATGGAGAACAAGAAGATTGCTAACTCAAAAATTAAGGAGTTCCGAAAGATTTTCTATTATCAGTTTAACGAAGAAATTTGCCCATTTCTCAGAAAAAACTATTATACTTATATTGAACAATTGTGGTTTATAAAATGTACCTACTTCATGCTCATATTAGACTTAACAATTAGTGAAACTTAAAGTGCTTTAAATTTTCTTTTTGAAAAATAGGATAAATAAAACATTATATAAACCAATTGGTAGAAATTAAAATTTTGCGCCAATTGATAAGCTTACTCTTTAGTATTGCTCATCATTGTTCTTATTCCTTCGGCAGGCACTGTAGTATGGAAGTATGTAAAAATAACCATAATACACATATTACCATAAAAATAACCATAATACACATATTACCAATTATCACTAGTAAAAAGGATAGTAAAATAAAATGTAGTATTAAAATCAGCATTCTTAATTCTGCCTGTTATATGAGGACTTTTATGGGACTATTCTTCGGAGTATTTTCATTCCTTTGTTAATTACAGAGAGACAAAATAATTTCACTAAATGTATCAGGATTTATTATAATAGTGAATATTAATATATTATTGGACACAGCAATAAGTTATGGTAGTGCAATAACAGGAAGCAAAAATGTAAACTATATCATTATTCTCATATGTGCAAAATGAAAACTAACGCATCACAATCATTCATACACCTGTATCTCATCTTAATGAATATGGTGTTTTTTAGTACCGATGAATTATATTTCTCAAAAAGGATATTTGATGATTTACTTACCCAAAGTAATAAGAGTCATGAAGAAAACTTGGGTGCCTGACCCAAGAAGAACTGACAACAGCATGCCTTTTCGAGGAGGTCGGAAAACATCCCCATGCACTAATTTCCAACCAAATTCTTCTTGTGCATCCTCCCCAGAATCAATCTGTTAAGAAGACATTTTACTCGTGGTCATCATAAGATTGCAAGACATTGTTCTTTTAAAGGGTACTCAAAAACAATTCATTGAGTAATCACGTCAAAACATTGCACTTTCAAAAAGTTTAATTATAAATTTTGCATTGTTCAAGTCTCTTATATATGTTGAAGATGGATTTTTTGACTATTGATATTGGACTGCAGTCAAGATGCAAATGGGGATCAGGGAGATCATAAGAACATGCTACAATTCTGAAAAATTTATATGGAACAGATTCAGGTATCCATTATTACCGTAATAAAATGGAGATCACACACTAGAGGGAAATAACACCGAAGATCTAACAAGTAGTATGTAGGCAACTCATGAGATCATGATATGTCTTTCTCACAAATCTCAACTGTTAAGAAGCCTTAGCAACAATATGATCAATGTCTTTTGAAGCTCATTTTTGAGTCTAATATCACAAGGTCTCTCACTGACATAACTGTTTTCAAATTGGTATCTATTATCCCTTTTGAATGGAGAATTACTTTAGTTCTCATAAAAGAAAAAGACAACATAATCATAGTTATAGTCATTAAATCATGTTGATACCAGTGGTGGCGACTCATGAACAAACGTTCAGGGTAGGCAAAACAGATTACTGAACAGCAGCAGATCTGTTAGCAACGTCACTACCTGTTAGCCATTTGTGTGAATCATATCACAAAGGATTCAATTTTCTTGCATTTTTCATGCCAGCACGATGTACAACCAAAATCAACATGGTCAACCATCGTTTCCTACAACATTACGATGAGAAAGTTTCAATACGATTTCTGATAAGAAGTTCATTCATTGTATCTCTTGTAATATTAACATAAAAACAGACTTAATATAAAAAAATCAAGAAACACTAATAATTTATACTAATTTAAAATGAAAACAATATATAAATAATAAGAATATTGGCAGAATACTACCAGTTCTCTTGCCCCATAACTGATATATCATGTGACCTTTTCTGAAGCAATCCACCTGCAAGTATTTGTTTACTTTGCCATTCTCATAGTTTATCTTTGCCACTCATCTGACTAATATGGATTCACTTGAGATACGCTAAGATATCTGTAATCAGCAGGATGTTTTTAAAGGGTGGGTTTGGGTGGCGAAAATATTTGGTTGCAGCAAAAGCTATGACATTACCTCAAGACATGTTGCTACCAGTCAGTAAGTGTTAATGTTTTGATATTTCAGCCATCACGTAGGAGCCTCTATGTGAATGGTAGTGTGTGGCAACACTATGTTAAACACTTTTATGTTAGAGATGCTTATACGCTGTAGCTATCAGTAGCGTCCTCTTCACTCTGGGCCTATGACGTTGCCAGTGAAGGAAGGTGTTAACCCCCACACTTCTCTTTTCGCAAATATATTTAGAGTAAAATTTAATTATATAAACAAAATCCTAATTTAATTTATATTATATTAGAAGAATGAGGGAAATATTGTTGCAAAATAACAATGAGGGTGTTGTAGTTTCTATTGCAAAAGACTGGAATAATACATTTTAGAATATTTAAAAATACTTGCTCGATGATTTTCCCATTCTTCAGTTGTCATTTTAAAAATTAAATTCTGTTAAGATTATTTGATTAGGACAGGGGTGTCTTATTCGTGAGGCTTCAAGAGCCACAATTAACACCTTTAATACGGTCGCAGGCCACATTTTCATTACTCAAGTGACCCACTCCTGACTTCCCTGTACTGTTGATGAGCAGTTTGCTAGGTTGCTATGAAGGGGAGGAGGAACCACACGAATGAGGCTGTACCATGCATAGCACTGTGGAACACATTGGGATGATTTTAAATTTCAGAATTTACTCGAAACTTATCTTCAAATCTAAAGAACCTACCATTTTTATATAAAGGGCGTGTTAACCCTGGCAAGGGACTTTCACTTTTGACAAGAACATTTTGCTGGCCACAATAATTGGCACCACAGGCACCCAGTTGGACAGCACTTGTTTAGGATATGGTCACCCGGTATCAATGACTAGTTTCTTTTCTTCATATGAAAGGGAAGAAAAGCAATTATTTTAAAACTTTTGTATGACTATTTCATTATCCATACCAAAAAATACCACTACTTTCATGAGTATTACTAAAGAATGCAACACGCAACGGAGAATATCACAATCAAGAACACTCAATCATAACACGATGTTTAATTGAGATGCAATGCCTTCATACGCTATGTCCGTGAGTAGGGGGACGTCACACGCATGCCCTGCCATATGCCCTGAACAGTCCTGAACACATTGGAGACTTTCACCAACGACCTGACCTGCTCTCGCACACTGCCTGCGTTGCATAGATGTGCTGGTGCCGAGCTATATCACTGTTAACACGGAAGACCAAATAAATGAAACAATCTAAATTAATTCAAATGGAAAAAATGATTTTTTTTTTAAATGTCCTTTGGCATCGACATACCACTCGCACACTCAATGAAAACACCACTGATAGCTATTGTAGGCAATGTAGTTAATTAGCATCTATAAAGGCTTGTAAAGTAACACAATCAATGTGTCAATTTTCTTTAACATAGCATACAAGAAGTTCAAACTCTAATTCAATAAGTGAAGGCACCTCCCCATCATCATTTTTATAATTATTTTTATTATTATTATGTTTATTATTATTATTATTATTATTATTATTATTATTATTATTATTATTATTATTATCATTATCATCATCACTACTACTACTAGTTTCAAGTGTAAATGAAAAAAGAATTCTTACATACCTGATTATATCGTGCAATATCCTTGTGCAATGTGCGAAGCATGATCATTGCTACCATTCCAGACAAGAACAAAACAATGACCAAAGAATTTAAGATGCTGAACCATTGAATGTTCGTATGTGGCATTGATTCCAAAATGTAGTCCCAACGCGATGACCACTTAATAGTGTTATTTTTCTGTACAAAGCAAATAAACAAACATGCATTAGATAAAATACATTGAAAAATACATTTTCATATACTGTATTCCAATGACATTATAATATCAACTTCTTACTGAATTTGAAATGGTACACATTCATCAGCAAATGTAACACATGAAAAGACCACATTCAGGCAAGCATACACACAATCTAATTGGTCAGGAATTTTAATAATTCATGAAATTAAAGACAAAATAAAATCAACAACCAAAATGCCTACAAAAGTACTTTAAAATTAGCCATAAACTGAATCACCATTCATAAGACTTTACACAATCCTTTATGAATGAGATTCGTTCTTTGGCACACCAACTATTTTATTAATATGAGTGATCAAACATGAGACCATTCAATTGTGCACAGCGATACAAGCAAAACAGAACATTTGTAAATTAGAAATTTAATTTTTCAACTTCTGAAGTGGTTTAGGCTAAAATTTAGAAAATCACCTCTGTAATATCAATTCTGAAATTGGGGTGATGGAGAAAAATTTCTAATTATAGATCCCTCTTGATAATTAACATAACTCCTGAATACTTTGAGACATTGATAACAGACACGAAAGAATATCATGATACCATTGTCACTGCATCAGCACGATTTAATTTAGAAGAGAAATATCAAACTAAGCTCGATGTGATCCACACAATGTATACTAAATTCTATACAAGATAACTCACAGGTAGACAGATAGTGTCTATACCAATTTCAGTAGCGCTTTTGATTTGTTGAATCTCTTGGACTTAGGGTCTTCTTTCAGAATGGTTCTCTAGCTATTTGTCAGACATGCCTCAGTTGGTGAGGTATGAAAATTTTCTTTTGGGTGAAATAGCTTGTCTGTCCGGAGTTCCTTCATGTCTATCAACGTTCTAGTTTGGAACCAATGTCTATTCAATATACGTATTAATGATATGTCTACGGCACTGAGAAACATGAGCCAGTAATTGAAACTAGGACTTGAGAGAATGTATAATAGTTTTTTCATTATTTTACATGCATCCAAAAAGTAAAAATCTTGAAACATTTTTGGTTCATCAAATGTGAAACTAATGCTTCTAATATACCACAAGTTCCTGTCACACACTACATTTCAATTAAATGAAGTTCAGGAAAATATACGTATATATAGCACTTACCACAAAAGTAACACTATAGGTGTACACAATAGAGAGCTTCTCATTATTAGTTAAATCTCGAGTAGGAATATCCAGAGGCTCTTTTTGATTCATGCAATCTCTTGAAGCCTCACTCCTGTGCTTGATACTGCGAGGGATTACTTTAGCCGCTATGGGAGAAAAAGCAAAACACTGCTCACTATTTCCTCAAGAAAATACAAAATACCATATTATGTCTGTCAATGCATTAAAACATTACAAATCATTGTCTGAAAAAAGAGACTCAATTTCATTTTTTATTTATTTGTGCACCATCACAAGATTATTTTAAAATATTTATATTTTTCACATCAACTTCATATGAAATTTATTTGAATTTAAGTAATCTGAATCCACTTTTGAAGCAGGTTGTTTGAGTTTAAACTAGATTTTTATGGATACTACATACAAATATGATAACTTTTTCCTACATAAATGTTTTGGGGGAATAATTAATTAAATGACAAAATCCAAACCAGAATGAACATCACACCATCACTGTGGCAGGTAGATGGTTAATATGAATAGCAAGAAAAATTTAAACAATATCAATTAGTCCCATATAACACTCAACGGAGGGGGTATACAAAATAATACAAATACTCACAAATAATGCGACCGCCAGAATCTCCTACTGCAACACCCCAATCCTGACCTTCTCCGCTGTGATACGTGATAGTCAGATCCACATGGTTGAACATGTAATATGTTTTGGACTTGTACATGCTCTACGAAACATCAAAGGATAGGGTACAGTTTAACTTGTGTAAATCTGATTTCCTTTGTAATTAAATTAATCATAGTTTAGCGTCTGCCATTACTTATCACACTTACCCCACTTATACATGTGTCTGAATTTGTTCGTTTTTCATGTACATAGCAGCCCATGGGAAACCCAGTACTACAGTAGATTCGATCATTGTCCAAAGCGTAGCACCAGGTAACAGGCATGTTATCTACACCATTACAATTCAGTGAAATTAATTACAACTTACTTATAAATTACAAATACCCTTTTAATTTAACTATAGTGAACATTTCATTAACACAGTAGCAAATACCAGCTAATACTAAGATAACACGAATATATTTGGATTAACGTATTACAAATTTGAAAATAATTTAATTTATGGAAGGTAACTGCCTCCATTCTAACTTATTTCAGAAATTATTTTCTAAATTAGTACTTCACAATATTTCAATGAAGCCTACGTACTACGAAAACAACCTTAATATTTAGTTTGGACACCCCAATAAATTAAATATAATATTCCAAAATATTAAAATTATGTTAACAATATTTATTATTAAAATATTAATTTTATGAATAACTATAAATAAGGAAAAGAAAATTGATATCAGTCTACTGATGTCATCAGTATTTCTAGATGAAAACTCAAAAAAATTGAAACTGCAAATGACTGCCTCTAATTTTGCTAACACAATCTCAAATTTTAACGTACATCCCTAAAAGCTATATTGACAACATTTACACTAAACAACAGAAGTCTGAAATTCACTTAAACATCACTGCATCTTTAGTCAAGCAGAGTTCAAGTCAAAAGAAAGGTTAAAAAATTGAGATGGTGTTAAAGAGTAGTTTGTGTATGGTTTGATATTTTTTGAGTTTTCATTTAAAAGCACTGATGAGGTTTGGAAACCTCCAGATGAAATTTATGATTTAACCCGTTTTTAGTGGAAACATTTATGTGACTTGCTCAATCTAAAATATAAGCTTCAAAACATAAATTAAATTTATTCATTGCAAAATATATTTTACTTTGACCTTTACCCTGCATTTTTATTTAGGTAAGTGACTCACCAATAATCCAGTGATGCTGATAGTTAAGACTCATTCCCATCTTCAACAACTGCAATTTGTGCTCAGATTCTTTGTCACCAGCAGTGTAGTTCCGAACGCAAGCCACTTTACACGTCTCATTTTTCAGGAAAGAGATCTGCCCCAAAATGCAATATTAGACTATTTGATGATTAATTCCAATTTTTGTTACATCTGCACTAATTAAAAATTTCATTTGCAAATTATAAGGGACAATCTTTCAGTTTGTATGACCTTGCCTCACCACTACCACAGGTGATACTAAATATACAATCTAGAAGATAATATTTTGTGGGAAGAAAAACTTTATTTTCTAGAAATTGAAAGATGACCATGAAAGTGTAGAACATTAAAACTATGCTTAACTCATAGGGTAAAAGATTTTAAGCCCTTAACTAAGGAGAATTTTTTAACTAATATTATTTGTATTGGCTTGTATCATCTAGTTGCTTTCTTATACAGATACATGTATACAATGTAATATACACACATAGGATGGAGAAAGTTATGCAATGTTAAAAAGGGGATTTTCAGAAGAAGAAGAAGAAGAAGAAAGAAAGAAAGAAAATCGTTGCTGGATACTGATAACAAAAAAGTGGATAAATTCAGTTGCTAAATTAAGGGAGAAAATCCTCTAACACATGGTGTAGCCAAAATCCCTGTTTTATGGGTCCTACCAAAATATCAATTGACGCCAAAACATCAATCTGTCTGTGAATACCAATACAGGTCCGTAAACCATATAAAGGATTTTTACCAAATTGAAGAAACCACTGTTGATGTAGCTCTCGTCAAAGCTTTGAGAGTTTGAAAATCATTCTTTAAAATTGTGAAGTGCAAAATTTTATCAAACATGGCTCACAATTTTTCTTTAAATGTCTTGTATGAATGAGTAAAACAGACCCATAAAGTTGGCACAGGTCCAGTTTTCATTGTCAACTCTGAATGTTTGAAAAGGAAAAGTTTGAATTTTTTCACTGTTTTTCTACAAATACAAAATTGAAAATACAGATTTTTCCTTCAAATGAAGTTTCCCCCATATTTAGTTCTTTCATTAAGACATGTACATTCTTTAGAAATATTTAGTAGATTTTACGCAATATCACATGAAGTATATGCAATTTAAAAAAATAAAAACAATATTTTCTCAACAACAGCTCCAATTTTTTTCTCTAAACTTTGGGTAGGGATAGTACAAAATCTACGCTATAAAATTTGCAAATGCTATTTTACTCTATTCTTTTGTTGTTGATTTTTGACAAAATTACATTTGGTGTGTTCTTTTCTCGTTGATTTTTCCTCTTGAAATACATAAATGTAATTTTTTTTAAATCCTTCACACTGTTAATATGCATATTTCCAGTGGTTTGAATATATTATTGCAGTTATGAGTGGAAGTGTTTCAAATAACTTCAAATAAAGTTAATTGAAAACAAACATTTTCTATGAAAAAGAACTTCAAATTTCGTATTAATTCTTAAAGTAATATTTCAGTTCTACTATTCAGAAACGGAAAAATTGAGAATACTTTTTAAAAAATATTTTTTGGGGCGACTATAGATGACACATGGCAAGTCAGAATGGCTATCCCAGACCGAAGAAAGTAGAAAACTAATACAAGAAAGTCTGTGCCATTCTGTAGCAGCGCTAGTTCCTTTCTTCTTTACAGATGACTTATGAGAGAAGCTACAGAAAATAAAAAAAAAAAAAACTTGTGAGAAGAGAGAAAAAATTACATATTAGAACACCCAAGTTAAAAACAAGAAATTTGAATGTAAAAGTAAAACAATGAGTACAATCAAGGGTTCTCTCTTCCAATTGTCTTATTTTAATGACCTCAACAAATGAATTAGTGTTACTGCAACGACAAACACTTTCTCGCATTAATTGTAACATCTGCAATTCTGGAAAATCAGAAATTTCAATGAAATCCTGTACTGTTTTAAGCGTCTTTTGTTCTACCCAAGGAAAGCCACACACACGACAACACACAACACACCACACACACACACACACACACCACACTTATAAATTACCTTTATTTGCACAGAAAAACTGTGCATTTTCAAAAACTTGTACATGTCCTTATTTAAAGATCTAATTTTTTGACAACATATATAGTTAAGTACAAGTACTGCATTTCTACTGCAGAAATGTGGGATTTTTTGGCAGATCCTATTATGGGGCTCTGGTATCGAGAAAATGGGTAAACCTTGTTCCAATATGTAGTAAATTGCCTCTAACCTGTTGTGCAGTCAGAATCCACATTTTGTGGGTCCTAGATACCAAAAAAATGGTTGACGTAAAAATGTCAGCCAACCACTAAATCATAGAATTTTCACTAAAATTGATATTTCTGATTCCTCTTCTGACAGCCCCTTCAATTTAAAGTTGCTATTGTTAGTTACAATTTTCTCATGAGAAGGCAGTTTTGAGTAAGACTGACTTTGCGAGCCCTTTTTTTGTAAAGAACTTTTATCTGTGTAATAACGCTTTCACATAAATGTGTGAACAATCCTAATGTCTTCTGTTATATTTGTGGAAATTATGTTATCATTAAATAATGATTAGGCATTAGTGACTTTGTGAAGAAAGTTTATTTTGCTTATTTTACAGTAAAACTTGGAGATCAGGACAGGGTATGATGTTTGGGATAATTCTATTAAGATTTTAAGGTTCTGGATGAAAGGAAAGAGTACCTGCAATTCCTATTGTTTGGATTTTTGATTAATTAGGGATTCCAGATGTGTCAATTACAAAGATCAGTAGTCTCGTACGTGTGACACCCTTTGAGAGATGGTGGTGGTCTCCCCCTGCTGGATGGTGACATCTGGCAATGACCCATCGTCGGCTAAAGGGGTTTCCCCCAACCAGATGGACACTGTCCCAGTTGAGAAAGGTCTAAGCTCCTAACTGCTCTCTCAGCATTTGTGGTAGTATAGAGCATGTAAGTGTAAGCGTTTGAAAGTAAGGGATGACGATAGGACAAAAAAGAGGAAGGAAAGATCTTGCTGGATCTGGGGGCCTGCTTGGTGAAGTACTGCTCTGGCGTTTGTCTAGTGTTGATCAGAGAAACCCTAAAAAACTACCGATCAGAGCAGCTGGCTGCTAGAATGCTGCCACCATCAGGGCTTGAACCTAGAACCTCCTGGTCAGAGGCACTGCAGTCAGTTAGTGCCCAGACCCACCTCTTATGGTACCTATTGTTTAGAGAGAGCCCAAAGACCACCTTACTGTTATTTCTGTTTAGTTAATGTTCAGGCGTGCAATATGAAAAATATAAACATATTGTGAGCCCAAGCCAATTCTACATGGAGACAACCTGCCTGCTCCTACCCTCCTACTTGTCTTCGTGAACATGACAAAGATGTTTCTGAAAAAGATACTTGAGGAGATAAGAGTAATTATGATGACCACAAACCTGAACTAAACTTACCCAGACTGAACGTAATGATCTAGAACAAGATCTGAATTTGCCCAAGAAATCTGTAGAATTAGTTGGGTTTCTGCTAAAATGTAAGAATCTTCTGTTACCAGGGACACATTTTTTACTGTACAAGCACAGAAATACAAGCCTATTTATTTCAACATAACAATTACTTATTTTATATCCTACTTATATTATTACTTTTCATAGATTCATCCAAAAGGAGCCTCAAAGGTGTGTAACTGCATAATAAGAATATTTATGCAGTCTTTCCTATGGTTCATTCAGTTCAAAGGAAAGAGACATATGAGAATGTGAATGTATTGTTAATCAGTACATTCAGTTACAAGACACAAATGTGGGCTATATATGACAACTTCGATTTTATAGGAATGCTATTATGACAGCAACCACAACACAAAAATTCCCTGCTTCCCATGCAAGTGGGACCACCAGTCAAAACAAGAGCATTGGGTTGTGAGAGATTGGCCATAGTAGAGAACTTCTCACCTAGAACTAAAATTATTCCACACAAACCACTTGAAAAACCCAACGAAGTTTTGCTTTCTCTAATCCGTATCAAATTTGGCCTGATGAAGTATTTTCTGAGGGTTCTACCACAAGATGGGTTCAACTTCAAGTACATTTCAATGCAATGCTTCACCAAATAACAGACTTGTTTGGCCACAAATTTGCAAATTGATGAAGGATAAAGAATTTGAGAAAATAAACAAGTTAAAAAATGGACTTCCTTCAGACTGGTCACTGGAATCAATTTTTAGGAGTTAGAAATGCCCCAATTAAAAGAATATTGTAAAATAATGATGAAAACTTCCAGAAGTTGGGTTGTATCTTGAGAGTAAAGCTTCACTTTTTGCACTTCCATGTCAACTATTTTCCAGAAAATATAGGGCATTATAGTGAAGAATAAGGTCAACTCTTCAACAAAGATATTAAGGAATTGGAGAATGGATATCAGGGGAAAACAAAATTAAAATAGAATTGTTAACTACTTGAATGTTGCAGATGGACAGATGAATGTTTAAGAGGAACAGGGAAGATGGATGATGTGAAAGGAAATCAAAAAGGAAAGAAAGTTTTAAAATTAATAAATATGTTTTTGAGTTTTGTTAAACACAAATATATAAAAACTTCTTTTTACTATTTTCAAGAATGATTTTGTGAAAAATGGGCCAATTTATATCATGTTTTAATAAATTAGTAAAATTCATGGGAAAAAAAGAAAAGTGTGTAAAAATCTGGGGATAGAAAAAAAAAATCAAGATATTTCTAGAAATTTACAAGAAAATATTGATATACAAATAATTATAGACAGCAGAGATAAAGATAAAAATCCAGGCTAGTGTAATTAATAGGATAATTAAACTGCCATTTTGATTAGAAATTTTCATTTCTGAGTGAAGTTCACAACCTCTTACAACAAACAACAGAACGATCTGTTACTGCAAGAAACAGAAGCTGTTCAAGACACTGCTGCTGAGAGTATCCAAATCTTTCCATTGCACTTTCAAAATCTTTAAAATGTCTCGGGCAATACATTGCCAAATAAACCCACATATTAATAGTTGCAAAAAAACTGATAACTTTGCCATCAAAAACATTAAATTTGAAACAAGTAAACACATTCTTAATTTCATGTTTTAGAAGAATGCAAAATTGAGGAATCATTACAAAAAAAAAAAAACACACACACACACACACCTTTAGTTCAACATCACATATTCTTTTCAACAAAAAAAGGTATCGGTATTCTTAGAAAAATGAGATCTTACTCATTATGACTGCTGTGCGCAGCTGACAAAAATTAACCCTTATTGTAACTCCTTCCTTTCATTTATATGTAATTATTCACTGAATATCTGCAATTTAATGTATCTTCATCACCTGTATGATCAAAGAAGGAATAAACTCAACACTGGGAAAAAAAATTACTTCAAAGAGAATATCTGCTGACGAGTCAGACTTGAAGCGATGGTGGATATTGAAATGTGATCGAACTGAAAATAAATAAATACTCAAATAACGCAAACCTTGTAAGGTGATGGTCGGATTCTTTCTCCAAATACAACCTGCCCCAAGTTCTCCACTGGTGACTGTGATTCATCAGTGACACAGAAGTCGAAACTACAACACCATAAGAATAATCAATTAACATAGTTTGTGATTAAAAGTATTGTTAACTCCAAATTGTAACTTACTGATGATATTCATAAGGTATAACAGACTCTTCTGTGTTCAATCTATTCACATACAGAACAACATCAGCCTGAAAGAAAACAATTGCATTAATAAAGCTATTACAGTATGACAATTTCTGTCTTTAGCTAACTAATATCATGGCAGTAGTCAATTACAGTCAACATCGCTAACTTCTAGATTATAATTTAGCTTGCTGTGTATCTACAATGTGGAACTGCACATTAGACAATTGTTTGTTCCAGGATTAATGTACCGCTTATGCAAGAACCTAACACCAAAGGAGAAAAAGATTTTCAAATAAGAAGTACCAAATCCCAAGTGGATCTAATTTTCTTCAGTTTAAACATAAAAAACAAAATCCCTTATTACTTCCTTTGTACAAAAATAACTGGTAGGTAAAGAAGTACGTCAAGTCACAAGCACGCGGAAGTAGTAAAATGTCAATATTTACCTTGCAAGATTGTAACGATTCTTCTACTTTGCAGTAAGTCACTGGGGCTAGGCCCGGTAAATAAAATCCTTGTGATGTCTTCAGTGCAAAGACAACACAAACACATAATACTGTCCAAAACATTTTGGATACTGACATAGGGGTAAACTACTACAAGCCACGAGATGAAAAACTGCTCTACTTAACAACACAAATAATTTTCATAAATAAATAACACTTATCACCAAGGGAATCTTCATCTCTGTTACGAAGAATTACGTGCTTTCGCGCTGACACGTCATGTAGCACTCGCCCAAATGCTCGACGGGCAACGTAAGCCGATGCTCACTTCAATCCGGTCCCCAGTGCTTACAGTGGCCAACCGTGGCGATAAACCGTATCAGAAGAAATAAACACTTTGTTGTTAATCCCTACTTCACGTAAGGAACCAAATCTCAATTTCACAATATGCCTGCATATTCATAACAGGTATTAAACCCTACACAATTTTTTAAATTATTACAAAACTCCTTTTCTTTCGATCTTCGATGTTTTTTGTGGTACGTACTTGAAAAGTGCTTCAAATGTTTCGCAAGATGATAGTGTGTGTGATAAAACGTCATATCAGACGCGCATTCACCACTCACTCATTCGAAACCATTTAAAGTAATTTTTTATAACGTCTTTTTTATTGAAACTTGTTTTTAAATGTATCTAGAAATATGTGTAGATTATTTGGATACTATTAGCACTGGATACTACTGTGAAGATAAGGGAAAAGGAAATGAATTTCAATAGAAAGTACCAACAATAATAAAACATTTCATACAAATAAATATACAATATATTTTTCAAAGAACCGTACATTCGTATGGTAATTACATTCATCGTTCCCGGCCGGCTTGTTCCCCGAACAATTTACACAATTTTAATTTATTGATAACATTTAATCACTTTCGCTGCTTTCTGATAAATGGGCTTCTTTCAATACTGTTCTTTTCTTTTTACGATCTCTCTGCGTTTTATCCAATCCACGAGCTGATTTTCGAAATACTTCAATGGCTTTCATTTTATTCTTTAACAAATTCAATTTGTCTTTCTCCTTTTGCAAAATAAATTCTTTTTCTACGTGTGTCGCAAAAGGCCCACTCATAGGTTTTTTAGAACATCTATTCCCAGGGTTTGTTATTGTGGTTGCATTGCTCGTGCAACCGCTCGGGCCAGGAATCGGCACCGAAGTTCCTGGTCTGCCTTCTGTCTGAATATCCTCGCCCACAACGCTCATGTTATTTTTCTGTTTAATGCTGCGACCCCTTCCTCTATTCGCTCTGAAACTAGAGGCTGGCCCTTGAACCTTTTTTAATGTTGCATGAATTTTCCTCATAGTTTCTGACTTTCCTCTTAGTTTGGGTCCAGATGCTATTTTTATTTTTTTCATGGGCGAAGATTCATCTTCGGAATCGCTCCCTCCTGATGCATCCATTTTTTCAATTGCTTCTTGAACACGTTTACTTAAGTTACCACCTCCTGGAGGCAAGCTTGGTTTTGGTTGAAAATAATTTTCAATCGTAAGCTGCGACTGAAATGGCAAACATTTGGTATACAAATAATTCCATTTTCTTTTCATCAAAATTACTTACGTTTTATTATTACTTAAGTTATACTTGATTCAATACCTACAATTTTAATATTCATTTTCTTCATTATAGGTTGCAAAATTTCATGTGTCTTTGAGGTGGGCCATCCAAATTTTACTCTTGCAAATTCTTTAATAGACTCCACATCTGGAGTTCCCCAACTAAATTTTTCCAGAGATTCATCAACTTTGGGAGATAAATATGCTTCCACAACAGTCACACTAGGAAATTCTAAACCATAAAAAAAGAAGAAAAAAAAAAAAGAAAAAAAAAATTAGTAACATATAGGTAGTTGTCCACACAAAATTTTATTCAATTAATTCTTTTAGGTCATTTTTGAAGCCAAATAATTTTGATATTTTGAGTTTTACATATTGGATTGTTTCAAAGAAGTGGGTCTGACATACAATATAATTACAATCAGCATTCATTACTTCATGTTTAGTGACATGTGAAACATTTACAGGCACTCACTACTAGCAATGCAATTATACTTCTTAAGCTAATAAGTATTATGATTTCAACAATTATCAAAAATATTTCTTTTCAATTTTTAAACAGAAAATACAATATACTGTTTTATGGTAAATAAATGCAATCTGTTAAAAAAATGTCTCTTGACATACATAGAAAAAAAAATTATTTTTTACCATTTCTTGAAATAATGTCTGTTTCACCTCGCACATTCAAGTTAACTGCTTTGGGCTCTACCTCTCATTCAAGAGCATGACAAAAAAAATTGTGGTCTCTGAATTCTGTAGAGATATTGCCTTCCTGTATCACGTCATTTTCCAAAAGACAATTGTTTTGATAATCACCAAAAATGTACCAATTCATGCACCAAAGACAAAAAACAACTATATTTTGAAACTAAAAAGGATGTAAAAAAAAATAATCATAAAAGGGTTTGCTGATGAAATAATAGAATAAAAGCCCAGCAACAAAAATGTTAAATGGTATATTCTAGTCAAACACATTATTATAGTAGTATTTTATTTTTTCAAACTAGTTGCACTACAACGTTGATTGGTGCTTATCTTGTCTTTCCTCTGAGCATACCTTTTGAAATATACTTTGGTAGAGCCCAGATTTGTAAGCAAATACATACAAATTGTATACAAATGACAGTGTTTCAATGCATGGATAATTGTGTGAAATTAAAAAATTAAATTTTCAAAAAATATTTTTCTACCAGTAATTCTTTTCTTAGTTTTAAAGAGGCTGCTTCAATGGTCACAATTCAAATTTTTATAGAAATATTTTGCACTGCATTTGACTACTAAATATTTATTTCCTTAATTTATACTGCATATTTTAAAGATTTATCGTGCATATTAAAAGAAATATTTTAGGCACTTTACTGCATAGAAATACTAGCTCCAGTTATAAATTATCTATCGAAACATAGAAGGCTATTCAAATTAAATTAAGGAAAGTCTGGTGTAATGAAGTTAATCTAGAGTTCAAAAGGTAGAGCACGTTCTTCTTGTTGAGCTGCTCTTCATATGCATTTTATGTGAGCAGATAATTTTAAGCAAATTTATAATCTCTACAATCAAATCATTATATTTATCCTCACATCATATATAAATCAAGTCATACATTATAATCTAGCCAATTAATGAATAAATAATAGAAATAAAAACTATAAAATCTCTTATTCAACATGTAGTTTTTTCAACTACACAATAAATAATACATGTGTGTGCAGAGCATTCACTAAAGTTAACATAAAATTATTTACGGACTACTTGCTGAAGGAACCATGCATCAAGGAATCATCACATTTTATAACACTATTGACAGAAATGAAAAATATAATGTATTTTGTCAAAGCTTTCATTTCACTTTATCACATGCTTTCCTCTCAAAAAAAGAAAATTAAACATTATACAGAAAAAATAATACTGGATCACACAAGGAATTAGAACATTGTGTAAAAACAAATGTACACTTTACTATATTTCTAAACATCATAATATATCATCTGGTTTCCATGTCTACTTCTGAGAAGGCAAAATAATTTTAAGGAAAGTAATAGTTCAGGCAAAGATAATGAAAAATAATCAGGATAATTTTGGAATTTTGAACGCTAGTAACAAAACTAAAGCAATGTGGAATATTGAACAGTCAGTAAACTAAAAAATTAATATTCACCTGGTTTAGATAAATTTTCTGGATTATTTATTGAAAACTTGTGTACCTGCCTTTATACACCTGTTAACTCACATTTTCAATGCTTCTTTTTGCACAGGAATATTTCCAGATATTTTCAAAATAGCAAAAATTAGGCCACTTTTTAAAAAGGGGAACAAAAATGAAATTCAAAATTACCGGCAAATTTCTCTTTTGTGAGATCTCTTAAAAATATTAGAGAGGCTTTTCTATATGTGAATGGAAACTTTTCTCAGGAAAAATGAAGCATTTTAAGACTCACAACATGGTTTTAGAAAATCAAAATCTACGGAAACTGCCATTTTTTCAAGATTTTGCTTCATCAATGGACCAAAATGGAGCACCCATTGGAATATTTTTATATCTTTCAAAAGCTTTTGATGTTATTGTCCATAACATCTTACTATCAAAATTACCTTCTTATGGAACCCGTGATATCACCCTAAATTGGATAATCTCTACCATTGGATCTCTGGATCAGGTTTTTGTCCAGTTTCCTTGATACATTGATCAAATGCTGAGATGGCCCCTTGTTTTACTTCTGGATGTAAATGTAGCTTCACTATGCGCACGTTTTGTTGAACTTTCCTTTTGCTTGGAGTGGTCAGAGTAAACGAGTAGAGGGAAGGGCAAGTTACTATTTTGTTATCAATGCAGAAAAATCAAATCTGTAGTACATTTTACCGTTGCAAATAAGTTTTCTATAACTCGGGAATGAAAAAGTCTAATCTGTTATCAAATGTTGCTAATCTCGCACTTTTTTAAATTTTATTTTTATTTATTTATTTATCTTCAGCTTTTACTCATCTTCCAACTATTTATAGTTTAAATGATAGGATGGGATTCTGGAACTCAAGACAACTTGTGCAGATGTTCTTCTCCTCCACACATCACATACAGTTTTTTACTGTTTTTTTGACTGAATAAATCTAAATCTAACTAATTTAAACATTTACATCATTGATAAGCAACCAAAATGAGTATATTTATTGGTTAATTATAAAAAAATGTTAATAATAAAAACAACATATTTATATTTTAATCAATCAATTACACTTTCAATCATACCAAAATTCAGTAAATATTCAATTATACAATTGAATATAAAAGATTAAGATAAGTAAATTAATAATTCTAATAGGCTTGGAAAGGAACAACTCTAAAAGCTCCATTGATATTATTTACTACATTCAGAACTGTAAATATCTACCACATTCTTATTTCCATTAAACTGTAGCCTAATAGTAACATCAAACTTATGTACTAAACTTATGAACAACATATCATTTTCTAGAAAATTGTTAAGTCAAAAAGAGGTATAACCTTTTTGAGGGCTTATGGTCAGGTGCCTATGCAAATAATTGCACTAGTTGCACATAATGAGCCTAAAAGTTGGAAATGTACGCATATTCAACATCTGCTTCTTTCAGAAAGAGTTATGTGTTCAACAGTATTCATTGAATCCAAAAGCTGACAAAGGTGACATTGTATGTGAAGCAAAGATACAATCAGATTGTTTTAGAAAAGAAGAAGCTGAAAGTGTCAAGAAAAGGTATATGTCTAAATAAATAAGGTTGTGCTAAAAGAGGACATACTTTCTTGTATTATTTGTAATGGCTAAGCAATATTATACAACTTGAATCTTCAAAAGTGTTTTGAAAGATACATTTTTTTTCCATGTCAAGATTCAAACTCAGGTTTTTAAGGTATAGCATGCCATTCACTTGACTGCAACTTGACAAGCCTTTTAGCTAAACTCAACTTTTCTGATTCTTTAAAAGAAAGTTCGTATCCCCTCACCATTTTCAAAATTTCAGAGATTTTCAAGGGCATTATTTCAGGATATACTTTTCAAAAACAGTTTTCATCAACCAAAAAACGCAACTAAAATCAATACATAATAAAAAACAAATTAAAATCAATAATAAAACTTGCAAGGGTTTTTTTTTGTTGCAATTTTTGCAAATACAAAGTCTATTGAAAATGGGACCTGCACCATTTCTTAAAAAGAGTAGCTGTGTGAAGACACTGGAAAATTTTGAACTTTTGCAATTCTCAATGATCTAGAGAGAGACATTTTCTTTTATATGAAGGACCCAAAAAATGTGTATTCTGAATACACTGCGAGTTAGAGGAAGTAATTTATCAAATATAAGAACTACAATTATTCACTTTTGCAGTATCAAAGGCCAACAATATGAATTTTTCTTCTGAAATACTGCTGTTTTTCATTGCAACATTTCAGAACTTTTTCCATACTTAATAAATAGTATAAAAGAAAGTAAAATTACAAAAGAAGTTTGAGTTAAATGAGGTAAAATGTAAATAAATTATTCTTGTGAACTGCAGATGTATCTATTGTTGACACAAATCTAACTGATTCTTCATTTGAAGTATTTACTGTATATGATTGTATAAATTAAAAAGGTCTTTAGGGAATGCAATCTACAAATGTTATCACCAATGAGTGGTCCTTTCAAGGTCCTTTCCTGAAGGCAAAATACTGTACCTGTACAGGACATCCCAGAAATATCATTCAGCAAATAACAAATAATAAACTTTTTTTTAAAGATGTTTTGAAAAATTTTGCTGTTTTTTTAAACTGTCTCTCTGTGTAAACCATCTAGCCAAATACATTTATTATATGTGATTGTGATTGATATGACAGACAATATTCTGCTTTTAATGTTCCCATTTTTAAAGTAATAAAGAATTATTTAAAAGTTCTAAAAGAATTCAAAATTGCCATTTTTTTCTTTTTTATCAACTGTGATTCCCAGAAAGTATTAGGAACAGAAAAAAGCACACATCCCTAAATAACCTAAGCTTTAGAAAGTCTTGTGAAACTTGGAGATAATGGTCCAGAAGTTATTATTGACAATTGATTTGTTTTGTAAGATTTAATGATATGATTCAGCAATTGAAAAAATTATTTTTTACAGCCAACAATTGAAGACTATGTTTTGTCTCATTTTTCAGTCTCAAAACATTGGCTTTACCAAGTAATTTTATCAATTGCTGATTGATGTCAATAAATCTTTAAAAATAAACTGACTATCACTAATGACTCCTGGACCATTCTCCCTAAGTGAAAATGAAATAGACAGTCTGGGAAATTAACTCAAGTTTTATGAAAACAGATTAATGTATCATATTACATAAGACAAAAGCTGTAATGTATAAAAGTCTAGGGACATTTTTCAGAGGTTTATTAGAATTAATTTTTGAACAATACTTACAAAATATCTTTCTTAAAGTTAGTTATGTTTTTGTGTATTTTCATACCTGTAGTCAATTCCAAATCTTTAAGTTTGTTACGCAATTTTGCTTTGTCCCGTCGTCCCATTGTGCCTGAAGTATACCATTCACGAAACCTTCGCAGGCCTTCGACCAATTCATCAGGAGGGCCTTGCTTAGACCTGGCAGGAAATGCTGCTAGGATTTCCAAAGCTGTTACAGGGCCTACACCAGGTACACCAGTGGTGTAATCACTTCCAACCAGGAGAGCCAATAATACCAACTGAGATCTTGTGAGCTCTGTAGGCAATAAAAAATTAATAAATTGCATTTTTAAATTATAAACTTTGTTGTAATCTACCACATTGAAAATTGAAAACAGAAAGTGGTACTGTGACCTTCATCATAAAGCAACCAGACCTTCTAATAAATGTATAAGGATAACAATTCAATTAGATCTTGAGACATTGAAGAGATATAATTTGAACTATTAGTTTTTCTGACACTCCTCTAAGAGTTTCGTGTTTTTGATTTCAAATCATTGTCGTTCTTGAACCACTGCAATAAATTTCAGCTAGGCAGCAGCTATGAGTGCACCTTTATTATAGAAGTTTAGTAATGAATTTCCCCATATTTTTGAATCAACAAGATGGCTCAACTTCTAAGGCGGAATCTGGATGAAAATAAAATAAGATAATAAAAAACCAAGGGATGCACGATACTGAAAATTGTATTTGCATTAGCCTTGTGAAGTGCAGACTCTGGATATTGTAATGACTTGGAGGAGATGTTACATTCAGGTGCTAATTATTTCACATAGTTTGACATTAATATATTAAGGTATTTATAAACAGTGGCATTACACAAGATGGGTTGCTTGGTGTCACCCAAGAACTAAAGAATATGACAATATTTGGTACTCTTAATTTAAAAGTGGTGCCATTTGCCCTGTTTCACCACCTGGGGCTTGTGGATTGATGGGGTGGGAAGTGGGTCAGTGGGGATTATCCCATTATTCCAGCTCCCATTCTTTGCACTAAAGTGACAATATTGCATGGTTTTTGGTACAAAACTGTGGTACAACTACTAGCATTGACTTTAAAAATACAGTAAATCTGTCTAAGTCGGAATCAATTGGGACAAAAAGAAGTTCCGGTTTAGGGAGGTTTCTGTTTTATGCAGTTGTCCATTTTATGACACTAGTTATGTTGATATTTCCATTCTGAAACTAGAAAATTAATGTAAGTTCAGAAATAGTTAATGTATAGTAAAATGTACATGATTTTATTGTGGATTTTAAAATAGATTTACATATGATGTATTTAAGGAAGAAATCAATAAATTAATATTAAACAATCATTGTCAGTTTCTGAGTTTCTTTTGCTTCCATAAGTTTAACCTTTCCATCTAATGTTAGAGAATGTTAGAGTTTTATGGTTTTCACATTGTTAAACTGTTTATAAGACTCATAAAAATACATACCACCTCACTGCCTAATGGCTGCAATCGGACTGCTTGCTGACTCTTTTCTGATAGCCTCGCATGGCCTTAAGCAATGCGACTCTGGCCGAGGGGTTACGGTTCTGAACGTGGGGAAGGAAGAGGCATGGATGGAAGCAATGCCCACACACCTCCCCACGCTCAGAGAGGAGGGGGAGGGAATTCCCCTGCGGCCTAAGCCTTGAGAGGCAAGTGACCCCGAGGTAGAGTTCTACGCTGTCAGCTGAAGCCCCTCTCCTTCATAGACAATGTAGTTGTGTTGTTTACTCTTTATATTGAGTCTGAGATTTAATGTTTTTCCTAACACGCTCACCCTTTCACGAGTCAATGCTTTCGAGGAAGACTAACCTCTCCAACATCACACTGTCCATGAAAAAGCCAGATTACTTCAATAATGCAAGGCAAATTTGGATAATTCAAGTTGTTTGTTCCTGTTCTTTCTTCAAAAATTTCTCTCCAAGAAATGGTCAACTTTCTTGTCTAATGCTGTCAACATTTGCTTCAACTATAGATCTTCTTGAAGAAGGTGCCATTCACTGACTGTGATATTTTTGTTCACATCTTTAATACGAAAATGTTAGAAATCTTTATAAGATTTGCAATACTGAAAATAGTGATATTTGTTGATTGAAGACATCTGAATATCTTTCAGAATTTTCCTAACAAAAGAGTTTTGTCAAGTAAATTATTTCCAACTAATTAAATGCTGCTGTGTGTCTTTGTCGTAAAACAACTGTTCTCCCTCAGTTATCTTACTTAGTAATAAATAGTCTTTCACTTGGTGAGGGAGTGTCATAAATTTTGTGATCAACCTCAAGTTCTCACTCTTAGAGAGATCTTCAGAATATTTGTCGAAATCACTGAGAACATCTGATTTACATGTCCAACGAAAGCAATGGTAGTTTTGAAGCTCCTCATAAAAAACATGAATGAGAGGTTCAGGTTCTAAAAGAGGTTTGAAAAAGAACCGAAAATAACTGCACTGCTAATTATGAATTAACCTTCTACAAGTATTTTTTTTCCTTAGTAGATCCCCAAATTCCTTGTATTAATTTTGTAACATGCTGATCTGCTTTGCACAAAAATTAAATAAAACATTTCTTAAGAAGGAGCCATCGTTTAGCAATACATTTTGCAACAATTTACGGTGTAAACACTGAAGTTAAAAGTATTTTATGAAGTATGTATATACTATATAAGTATGAAAAGGGGCATATTCAATTACTCTCGAATAAGGTGGAAATCTTTTCATTTAGCTGGTCAGTTATGAAGAAAGTAGTACAATTTAAACAAAGTTTATGAACATCTACACCAAAATGTACTATAACCTTCACAAATCCGTTACATACAATTTATTAATTACACAAGCATATAGCAAGACCTGATAATTGTCCATTTTTTCTTTCAGCTTTGATGCATTCACTGAGATCATAGAGTATGTAATTACTATTATTTGTGCCATGAGCATCCAAACTCCACATCTTTGTTAGGGAAAGATTAGCATTTTCTACTGCTACCACAATGTTACCATAGATCTTTTGTGTCCCTAAAAAAAATAATTTTGCAGGTGATAAACTTTTTTCTTGTGTGATCTTGACCCAAATCTGATGCACTCTTGAAGTTGTTTTTCCACATTCACATTTTTTAATGTAATCTTTAGTATATTCTTTGAAAAACAGTAATATTTGTTAAGTTGTAATGTTAGAAAATGAGGGTTGAAAGGGGAAGCATTAAATAAAAGAATAATACAGTGTTAGCTGGCCAAAGATAAGTTAATAGCGTGTTGACTGTTTTACATTAACTTGGGCTTTAAATACCAATTCAATGTTTTAATCATCCACAAAACTATGGTCACAATTGATGGAAAAAACAAAGAGCAAAACTTTTTGGAGACTTTTGACACACATTTGTAAATAAAATTTTGTGTCTACTTTATAATATAATTTTGAAAATTTTATGCTAGTTTGAATGATAATTGAAAAACAAATCAATTTTACGTTCATTAATCCATACATGATATAAACAAAAATTTTATTTGTTTATAAACAGATTTACTTACCTTTAGTAGCATACACAGAGATTCTATTAGTTCATTTTAATCTAAATTTGTATTAAAAAATTGAGTTTTAGTATAAAAAATGAGAATAGTGAGTACATGAGGAAAATAAATCAAATGTATTGGAGACCAAATAATTCATATATCACAAATCGGAATCATCTGTAATCTGAACACCTCAAGGTGCAAAAATGTTTCTATACACAAGTTTTTGCCACTGTTATCAATGGCTCTGTACTTCAAATATACTCCATTGTAAAAATGTATAATTGTATTTTCTTATTACATCAATGTATTTGAAATTACTTTAGAATTAATATTTTTATTTTTACCCTTTTAAATTGTCAAAATTTCCTTCAAACTTCTAAAAACATGCTTGTTCAAAAATCTGAACTATCTATGGCCCAATTAGTTCAAATTTTGACACCCTACTGAAGAGGGAAAAGCAAGTCGCTGGGAGGTCTGTAGTTTTTTCAATAAATTTCAATATCCATTTTTTCAGTAAATTTCAATATCACATCATATGCTATTATTGTAGTTCATTGCCATTGATTATAAACAAGTTTTTCTTATTTTAGAGTAACAGATTAATTGAAAGACTCTTTACCATATACTGTGTTAATGAAAGTTAAAATGTTCATGAAATTTTTTAAGTGAACCATTTCAGAAATATTACTAAATTAATTTACACTTTCAAACATGTGTACTTACTGAAAGACTGTAGGATATCTATATCTCTAAATTGTAAAACGTGTTTCTTCTGATCAAAAAAATTTTTATAAACTTTTTGACCTCCAAAAAGCCAAATATCACTGTCATCAGTGATTGTTCCATCTGTAAGAGACAAACGGTCCAAAAAGGCACATTGGGCTTCTGCCTCCATTGGAGCCAGAACATAGGGTACTCCAAATAGCTGTAACAGCTCCTGCAATGAAAAACATACACAAATAGAAAGGCTTAGGAGTTGAAAGTATCTAATAAAATAGTAAAACAAGACAACTAAAACTCATAGAGCCAGGAGGCTGAGAACATTTCAGTCACAAAACTCTAATAGCAGTGATTCAAAAGCAAGCACCTAATTGTAAGTAGAAATTGAAAAAAAGATTAGGATTTACTGTGGTTTAGTTATTCGCAATAGAATACACCAATTAAAAAGCCTTCTTGGACAGAATTTAAAATAATTGAAAATTGCTAGTCAGTACATTGTTGTGAATTGGTAAAATTAACTTTCCAACTCACCTGAGCTTCTTGTGTCATTTGTTCAGTAATAGAGGCTGCAAGACGTTCTTCTCTTGCTTGTTCCCTTCGTAAACGGTTACCTTCTTGTTGTAGAGAATCCTAAAACCAAGGACAACTAAACATTGTACAGAGGTATTTTTAAAGGATAGAATTGTGAACATTCCCATTTTATGATTACTACCTTAATAGCTAAAATAAATAGATAGTAATAATAAATACAAACAATAAATTTTCTTTTATTAGAGATTAACTTAGTGAAACAATGTACTAAATAATTACAGTGTACTAAATTACTGCAATTAAATAGATTAAATAAAAAAATAATACATACAAATTTTCATGAACAATAAATAAAGGATTTTAGTTTGATTCTGCTTTTCATTTTGTTTCTGTTTAATATATAGGCACAGAAAGCTTTTGTACACAGTTTCTAGAAACTAATAACAATTTTGATTTTCACACTTCTTTAGATATTAAACAAAACATTTTGTTTATTTACCAAATATTCTACAAAAATTAAACACAGAGGTGAATGAAAATCACAGGGTGAATACATTATTTCAAAACTATTTGTTTTGAATTAAAAGAAGCAAAATAATAACTTCAAAAAATATGTTGGGGTTAAAACTAGATGAGAACTCTTTATCTTTCTCTTACCTGAAGTTCCTCCAGTTGTTCAGTAGAAAGTTTCACAGGTTCCCTTTTAGATGTGTTATAATTACTTTCTTCTGAAACTTCTAGTGACTCGGAAATTTCTTCTGCTATTTCAGAGCCACTATCAGTCATTACCATTACATTCTCAGAATCTGAGGTAGGAGAATGTGGTACAGCAGTTTCTTCAACATCAGCATTTTTTAATATATTTTTGAAATGTTCATTTTGTTGCACAGAATTCTGAGGTGTTTTTATTGAAGGAGTTTTAGAAAGTAAAGAGGAATTTATTTCATTTGTAAGAACATTATCTGCTGTCATCACAGTTTTAGTAATGTTCGGCTGGATATTTGCAAGTGGTTTGGAACACTCTTCAAAGACATCAGCAAATATGTCTTCTTCAATGTCTTTCATACTTGCCTTAATCACAACTTCCAAAGGAGCTACTTTTGGTTGTGTTTTCTGAGACTCTTTGAATTTAGCGGCTGACTGATCTAATTCCTTTACTTCAATGAAGTCTTCATCACTGCTGCAACTATGCTTTTCTTCCGTATATTTTCCATTTTTGTAATTTTCTGATGATTGGAGAGAAATATTTATAAAAGAATTACAAGTAACTTGGGAAATTTGATCTGAAGATACTTTCTTCATTTCCTTACACTTTTCCTCCAGATATACTTTGGGAGAAATGATAAGGTCTGAATCAGAAACAGAAGTTACATCTCCTTGATCAGATATTCCTTTCTCATTGGATAGTTTGTCAAGATACTCTACAGACGAGTCTGGGGAATGCTGGTGCACCTTTTTATCTTCTTCTATTCTACTTCCTTTGGCTTCCTTCTCATCATCATTATAATCTCTTTGTTTAATATCAACTTCCATTACATTTTCCTTTACATCACAATTCAATTTTTGACATTTTGAAACATTTCTGGAAGAATAATTGGAACTCAAAATATTTTCATTTTGGTTGTTGGTTTGGTCAGATTTTTTCGCAGAATAATCACTAACTACATCCGCACTTGTCACAGGCACATTTAATTCAGAACACGAAGAAGTACTGGGAGTGACAGATTGACTATCTAAGGACAAATCACTTTTACCTTTAGAGTTAGATAACTCTACAATATTGCTGAAACAGACTTTGCTTGTTGATGGTTCATCTAAAGAAGTGGATTTATTTGCAGATGAATGATCTTTGATAACAGTAAATATCTCCTCTTGAGTCAGTCCGCTGTTTTCAAATATAAAATTATGAGCTGCCTTCAGTTGTTTGGTAACAATGTCATCAGAATCAATCTTTGACATTTTTGTATAATCAAATTCAGGTAATAGTTCTGGAATTTCTTCATCAGAATAATATTCTTCAAAGAATCCTTCAGCAATATTCTCAGCTTTGGGTACAGTGGCTTCATCAACCACTGAAGTGTCCTCCTCCACAGAATCTGAGAATTTAGTCTCTGATGCATTTTCTTCAATTTTGGAAGATGTTATATTTGCTTTACCTAAAACAAATTTGATTCATTATTTTATTTTGAGTTCTTATTACAAACCCATTAGCACATATTTTCAATATGGTAAGATAGCATTCTCGTCCTCAATTTAATAAGATAATAATATCCATTAGCAATCTTCCAATGGATTTGGAAATATTTGTTAGATAACTGGGATTTTCTCTGGCTGTTGAATTAGCAGACGCCAGACCAGTGGCTTTAACATCCTTCAACCATATCTCCAAGATTCCCAAGCGGTCATTAAACCTTTTCATAAAAATTTTCATACAAATGGCACCAAACAAGTTGTTGTGAACTATAGATCAATACCACTCCTCTCAGGATTTTCAAAAATATATGAAAAGCTATTGAAGAGAAGGTTGAAAAGTTACCTGTAATATTAACACTGATACGCAACATGGATCTAAGGAAAAACTGATCCATGATTTATTTAGCTTTGTACATGAAGTCCTCATGGCATTAGAGAAAACAAGACATTTAACCTGTTAGTCTACAAGACCTGTTACTCTCTTTCTAGATATGTCGAAAGCTTGACATATCAAAGAAGAGAACAAATCACAGAAATATTTGTCAATCTATTACAGAATTCTGGCATCAAAACTAGAAGGTTAGGAATTAGGGGAATGGCCCACTATTGGATCTAATTATATCTATGAGATAGAAAGAAAATAGTTGTGTTATGTTGCCCCCCATTCCCTCCCCACAGACATACAAAAACACTTGGAACCAAAAGCTATGACCTATAAGATCCTGACAGGATCTAGATTAGGTTCTATTGTATTTCTTATGTCGGTCAGTAACTTCCCATCAATAATGGAAAACAATAAGACAGTTGTTTTTGCTGTTGCCACAAATACAATATTTAAAGGAAAAACAACCAAAGCTCTACAAGACAAAATCAATTGAGTTGTTGAGGAACTAATTCAATGGATTCGTCAAAATAAATTAATCACAAACACAGACAATGCAATTGCTATTCCCACTCAATCCGATACACACCAAACTTGACATAAGAATGCAGCAGCATCACACATGTGCAAATTTCTCTGAATCAATATGCAATCCAATCTGAAGTGGAACTCACTCCTAGAAAATATTAATTCAAAATTGAGCAAACTCAATAATACTCTTAGAATAATGACAAGGAACAGTATCATTGGCTCACTTCAAACAGGGTGCTTCGCAAATATTCGCTCAAATCTCAGATACGGAATAATAATCTGGAACCAACCACCAGAGGAAAAGCAAACCTTTCCAAAAAATGAAGAATCTGGATGATAAAAAATACAAAAAGACCAGACTCCAATACAAAAAATTTAAACTTAATATCCTTCTACATATTTAACACTTCTACTCATACTACAAAAGACAATCATTTAAGCTTTGTGCCAACCATTGTACACCAGCTCATTATATCAAAAAAGTACATGAATACAATTCTTAAACAAATTACTAAAACAACGAATAGATATTACAGGATTACACAGCATAAAGAATAAATCCCAGCAGTAACTTTTCTACGTTTATGAATTTTTCAATGAGATACGTGCAAACTGATTTTACAGATGCTGCAGTATGATTTGGTATACAAAAGCAAACCTGGCCAAAATCCTTCTTCCTCCTCCTGAATCTCTTCATACCTACTTAAGATAAACGTGATGACTATCTATTAGACTTGTCATCACTAAAATTGTTATTATTCTTATTATTGTTATTGTTACCATATCTGATTCTTATATTGTGTTTTTACATATGTAGTAATATGGGCTACATCTTGAGTATAACCAATTCCTATTTCAAGTATAAAGAAAAACATAAATTACATGGGAAGCAAGGGGGACAAAATCCATTATATATACTATATTATAGTGAATGAGGGAATATTTGATAAAGTAAAGAATACAAAAGTTTTCAGGAGAAGGAAACTGGATACCAACCGCTACCCAGTGAAAACTAAACTGAAATTTAACAGACAAGACATTAAAAAGAAAACAGGAAAAATTAAAGCAACACAAAAGCTGTAAACCTATATATTAGAAGACAGCATTGGATACCTGTACCAAGGCTGCCTTTGAGAGAAGCCATAAAGAATAGACAAACAAAACATGGAAGGATTCTGGTCAACTCTAAAACAAGTAATCAAAGAAACAGCTGAAGAAACATTAGGATACCAAATACCCAAAAAACAAAAATGGGTAATGAGTGATCATGAGGAAGAGGAAAGCATACCAAAAATATCTGCAGTTACACACCACAAAAGATAACAAAGAATATAAGAGATGTAGAGCAGAAACAAGAAGATAAACATGGCAAATTGACAGATGACTGACAGAAATTTGTGACATTGATAGAAAGAGACATCACAAGCCCCCAAAGAATGGGTTTTAAAATCATAAAAAGGCTCAGAGTAGAGACAAGAGACAGTGGCTGCAGAGATCTCATTCCTGAAGAGAAATGGATAGAGCCCTATGAGAAGTTAAGGAGTAAGCCAAAACCAGGTACAACAGACCCCAGGATGAGTAACACAGTAATTGAGATTCAAGAAATATTGTCACAGATATCCAAATATGAGATGGAAAAGATGCTAATAAAAGTAAAAATAGGAAAATCCCACGAGCAGATGAAATCTCTGTGCAATTAATAAATTACGGTGGGGAAGAACTCAAGGACAACATGATAGTACTCTTCAATAAAGTCTGGGAAGAAAATTCAGCCCCAAAAGAATGGCAGACAGGTGTCATAAATTTGTACATGACAGGAGCAAAAAAAATTGTAAGAATTGTAGGGGGATAACATAACTATCAACAGCATCAAAACTTTTTGCCAACATACTAAGAAACAGAATGAACGAATACAGTGAAACATTACTGGGAGAATAACATAATGGATTCAGAGGAGGAAGCAGTGCAATAGCTGCAATATTTATGATTCATTACAAAACAATCCTTGACAGATTGCAATGAAGTGAATTTACCAATTTACCTATTACTCATAGACTTTGAGAAAGCATATGATAGAGTAGACTGTGAATTAATGTGGCAAATACTAGTAGAGGACATACCTATAGAAATTAGAAAAGGAAACCAAGGCCTCTACACTGATGAAGGAAAAGGCATTAGGGCAAAGGGATGTGGGAAGGCCACAAAAGAAACGGCAATATCAGGAACAGCTGGAGATGGAAGCTTCCTGGGAAATTGGTCAGGCAACAGACCTAGCAACCTGCAGTTAATAATGATGATGATGATGATGACACATAGTAATATAATAACCAATCTAACTTATAATACACAATTGTAATTATAAATTGACTCAATAATAATAATAATAATAATAATAATAATAATAATAATAATAATAATGGTGATGATAATAATAATAAAGTTCAGCAAGGGGAAAACCATTCATCATGTCTCAGTTTGTTCAATTCTAACAAAGATCAAATACTTGAAAAAACAAGATTGTGTGTAGTTACTTCCACTGTCAGATCTGTAACCCCCTCAAAGTTCCAAACATATACTCCAAGTGGTACAAATACTCACCAAAACTGGAGGTATACAATTTACATGACCAACCAATTTGAACTAATAGCATGATAGCGGCAAACAAAGTCGATATTGTTATCCTGGTTTTGAAGAAAAACACATTTCTACTTATATATTTTGCTGCGCCATGTGATCAATTCTTCATAGCCAAGGAGGCAGAGAAATATAAATACAAAAGTTTGGAAATCATGATCAGCTGAATGTGGAGCATGAATGCATAGGTAATTCCTCATGGTTATCGGAGCTCTGAGATTTGTTTAGAAAAATTTGCATACGAACTTGGCTAAACTAAATTCCAGGTCATTCAAAAGACTGGGAAGTGCAAGACATTGCTTTTGTTGGGAACAACTCACATTTTACGCAAAGTATTGTAACGTACCAACAGGTCTAGATCTGCTCCTTAGAAAGATGGTTGCAACCCGAAGTAGATTTTAAATTCAACTGATTCTCCTGAAGTCATGAATTAGAGTAATAATAATAATAATAATAATAATAATAATAATAATAATAACAATAACAATAAAATAACAAGAAAAGGACATACAAATTAGAGAGAATGCTATGGACATCAAAGTTGTAGTCGTTAGAATTACTGAAATGGGGGAACAAAGAAAATTAACAAACAAGTATGCAGTTAGGTAAATTTAGAAAACTTCCAAGAGCTCTCAATAATGTTTATCAATACGGCATGATTAGGGCACGATTTACCCTCATGGAGGCTCTAGAGTGATCTTTAAAACGAGCCTTTATACTATACATTCTTCATTATTGAATCTGGAGCTACAATACAAATCTGACTATAATACATTCCTTCATTACTGAATCCTGATTTATACTTAAGGACAGGAATCTAAATTTGATTTTCTATTGAGAAAATGATGACAAACAATATTTGTTAACACTTTCAGTCCTACACCTTAAGATGGCTCAGGATACCCTTTTTTTATTTACCATGTGAGCAAGTCTCATTAAATATTCTGGACCAATATTTTTTCCCTAGTTAAGTAGGTTTCAAAGTTTTATTTGCCATTAATTTCATTCACCTAACTCTAATTTACTTCTTGGTAAAAATGCCTCAAAATGGCCAAGATTCACTGGAAATAACAAGGTGTCAAAGGCTTAGGACTGAAGTGTTAATAACATTTTTAATGTGACTTGTACTTCTCGAGGAAAACTTTAATGTAATAGTATTAACTAATTTATACTATAGACAATTGTCAGCAGTAAAAAGATAAGCCACACACACAACGATTATTGCAGGTACCTATGTAAGCATGATGTATTTATGTATGTATGTATGTGTGTATGTATGTAGGTGGTATGTGTGTTGATTATGTGTGTAAGATGATGTATGTATTGTATGTATGTATGTTATGTATGTTTAGTGTATGTATGTATGTGTGTATGTATGTATGTATGCTATGTATGTATGTATGTATGTTGTATGTATGTATTATGTATGTGTGTATGATGTATGTATGTATGTAGTAATGTATGTATGTATGTATGTATGGTATGTAGTGTAATGTATGTAATGTAGTATGTATGTATGTATGTATGTATGTATGTATGTAACTGCTTATATGTATGTATGTATGTATGAATGTATGTAATGTATGCTATGTTATGTAATGTATGTATGTATGTATGTATGTATGTATGATATGTAGTATGTAATGTTGTATGTATGTATGGTTATGTATGTATGTATGTATGTAATGTATGTATGTATGTTGTATGTATGTATGTATGATAATGTATGTAATGTATGTATTGTATGTATGTATGTATGTATGTATGTATGTATGTATGATGTATGTATGTATGTAATGTATGTATGTATGTATGTATATGTATGTATGTATGTATGTATGTATGTATGTATGCTATGTATGTATGTATGTATGTATGTATGTATGTAATGTATGTATGTATGTACATGTATGTATGTATGTATGTATTATGATACATATGTCATTGGCTATTAGTAATGTAATGTAATATTCTATTATTGATGTATGTATGTATGGTATGTATGTTATGTATGTATGTATGTATGTATGTAGTATGTAATGTATGTATGTAAGTATGTTAATGTATGTATGTATGTATGTTAAGTTAGTATGTATGTAGTATGTATGTATGTATGTATGTATGTAGTATGTATGTATGTATGTATGTATGTATGTATGTATGTATGTATGTTATGTATGTATGTATGATGTAATGTATGTATGTATGTATGTATGTATGATTATGTATGTATGTATGTATGTATGTATGTATGTATGTATGTATGTATGTATGTATGTACTTTGGTGCAAAGACACACACTATAATCTTGCCCAACGAGGAATTGAACCAGCTGTCGCGTCATGGAAAGTCAGCACACTGACCACTGGGTTACCGTTTTACAGTTAAAAAAAAAAAACAGATCTAAACTACAGGATCTATGTTGAGAACCACAGCTGGCCATCATTCTCTCCAAAATTAATAATCTAAGGAATGGTAACATATTATTCCCTCTATAAGAAACAATAGAAGTCAAACTTTGAAAGAGTATTCCTGCTGGAGAGGGAATTACCCCCCGGGGTATGTCAATTACATTTCAGGTGAAAATCAGCAGTATGCAGATTATGGCATACTTGAATTATCGGGCTCATAATCCTCAAAACACATTAACTACAATCCATTTTACCATCACACATAACTCAGAAACAATGTGTCCTAGATCCTTAATACTAATCTTTTTGTTTCCCAGCATTGGACACAAATTGTTTTCTATATCATTCATTTACAAAATGAGACCTTTGGGGACATTCTATTCTATTTTCTTATGGTTCCGTCAGTCCATACTTTTATCATGTTTTGGTGTTTTCTGCTCTCCTGGGTTCTGTGACTATCCAGAACTTCTCATTTTATTTGGTATGGGAGGCACAGCACAACTCTCTGCTGTAACATTTATAAAATTATCTTATGGTTGCAACTTAAGTGGAAAATTTGAATTTTCAGGTTAATTTCCAGATTAACAAGAGCAGGAAGCAATGAACATGTGAGGAATATCTGGGTGAATATTGGAGGGAATATCTGAGAGAAAATTTTCGAGAACTTTAAGGGAAACGTTTGGGGAACATTTGGTGCTACACTTACACTATTTGCGACCGTATAAGGCTTTCCTATTGGGTTAATAGTTCAAACATCTGAGGGGCCTCTCTTTTGCACTCTTTGTTGTAAAACTACAATAATTCTTGCTTTTGCCACGAGTACACTCACAAAGGAGGCAAGTCACTTTTAGACGTTTGTGCTTGACAGATCAGCACACACGTGCATACTGTGTCACTTTAACCGCAGCTGCAGATGCCTCTCTCAGCCCCTCCCCTCGCACAGGGCTCTAGATGAAGAGAACATTGAGAGGAACACGTACACTCTCGTGGTGAACAAGTGATACAACGTTTGAAAAACTGTGTAGTGTACACATAAGGCAAGCATTGGTGGTGACGAAACGGCAGACAAGAATTAGAGAGGTGGAAGAAACGGAACAAGCCGAAGAGAAGCAAATAATCAAGTTATGAATCCGCAAAAGGAGAGCAGAGCTGCGCACCCGCGGGCTGGCCGGTGAGCAGGACGAAGCGAGCGCGGGCGTCAGCGGCGATGCGCTGGCCCGGCAGCGCCGCCGCCGCCGCCAGCACGCCGGTCTCCGCCATCAGCGCCTCCAGCTCGGCCAGGCTCATGGACCGACCGCCCATCTCCCTCTCCGCCGCCTCCAGCGACTGCTGCACCGAGCGCCGCTGCAGCAGGCGCTTCATCTGGTAGCTGGAGAAGTCGCCCGACTCCTGCGCACACGGAAGCGCTCCGCTGCAACTCGACTCCCCTCTCGATCGGGTTCTCGGCCCGCTTCCCCGGTCCTCGAGCAATGAACTCAGACGGCCGCTTGCTTTGCTCCAGGGCGTACATGCAACTTCAAATTAACTTCTCCCCATAGTACGCCACACACACTTTTTAACTGTTTTAGACTAAATAGATAAATAAATATGCCAGAAATAAGGTCTACGTAAATAATTACTAATATTTGAGGTCTAACGACACTAGGTCTACTCTAAAATGTCTACACATTGCGCTTGTCTACATGAAAAAATGTCTAATATAAGTATGTCTACATGCAGAAATGTCTATTGCCTAAATATCTACACACAAAGGTGCCTACATGCAAAAATTAATACAGCAAATATGTCTGCATGTAAAAAAGATGATGAATGTTAGTTAGACTTGTTAGTAAATGTAATTATAAATTCATGTTTAACTCAAAAATATATGCATAAAATATATATGCAGTGCATGAATAGGACAGAGGTTCAATAAAATCATCCATCAAATTCTTCTACTTCAGCTGCTTACAATTTCAGGCGATAACGTAATCGTTTCAAGTAGGCGAGTATTTCATTTCGCTGTCTGTAGTCTTCATAGCGCGATACCATTATTTGAACTTACTCCATATTGACAGAATGTTTTAGCGGAATACTCGTTACACATGACATTTAGCTGATAAATTTTGCAGTTAGAAAACATTTTTGTCGGTAGACATTTGACCGGTGGACGTTTAATGATTAAACTTTTACAGCTGTGGACCACATTTTTTTGTTAGACCTTAATACAGTTAGACATTTTTCCTGAAGACCACCTGACCTTGAAGCGGTTTATGTGCTCAGGCTGTCGGGATAGGTCAACAATGAACCTACAGCCTAGGGACATTCAGTACGGGCATGCCCACGCAGGGAGTGGGGACAGGGGAGCCGTGCCCTCCTGAACATTTTCAAAGTGGACCCGTAGCCCTACGCAGTAAGTAATTTATTTCAGTAAATATTATCAATTTCTGATTTCACCCTGTTTATGCTGAAGTTCTCTAAAATATTCGATAACCCTGTAAATAGTTCAACATAAAATCAATTGTTTTTGTTATATGTTGTGAATCATTAAATGTATAGTTTCATTTTCCTTATAGTGTTTTATTTATTACCAACAAAAATCGCATGTTAACAAAAACGTTTAATGGGAAAGGTGGTCCAGGAACGGAATTGCCCCTCCCCCTCGTCTTTGGGCTGTGACAGTTTTATCCGCAGGACCCTGATCACTTGCTCGTGTTTCGTCGCAGGGGGAAAACTGATGTATCCCAACACCTCGATTCGCAGCTCAATTGTTATTTCTGGCTTTGCGACACAAAAGAGTAGACGTCTTGTGGCGGATTTAGCACGTACGTGGCCCTAGGCGCAGTTAAATCCTGAGGCCCCTCTATAACTTACAGTGTGCATTCGCGGTGCGCATTATTATTATTATTATTATTATTATTATTATTATTATTATTATTATTATTATTATTATTATTTACTCTTAGTGCGCACCGGTGGACTGTAGACACCTCATCGAGAACAAAGCTGAGTTACAGAAAATCTACGAAAGATGTTTGTATTAGTTGAAATAACTAATATCGTAAAACTTCACAGTATCACGCAAACTCATTTTCAAAACTGTTGTTCTGAATCATAGATAAGTGAGCGCCTCGCAACACTTCTCGCTACGTTCTGAGCAATACGGCCTACTATAGAGAAGGAGGCCGTGGCAAAACATCACCAGTAAGTGTTGTACATCGGACATTCGGACTGTCGTGGACGAAAGAGAGTGGCGATGTGGAATGTAACAATTGTTCATAATAATGCAAAACAGGAGGCCCCGGACATTGGATCGCATGCATTGCTTTGTCAACAATTTGGAATTCATTAAAACTGCGTAATATCTTTCTGCAGGTTGTTATTGCGAAGGTGTTTGTTGGTGTTCTTTTTTGGTGATGGAGCCACGGAAATTAAGGAACTTAAGACACCGCAGGTTCTTGGATCGAAACCTCGGATATCACTGGCGCTTAGACACTGGCCTCTAGGAATAAATAGCAATGATTCACGACTTGACGAATGATTGACAATGTTCAAAGATAATTACTTTACGTTCAATGTCAAAGAGGCTTGGAACTTTGTTATGCAAGAAAATTATGTAAGCAATGAATGCGTGCCGTCACATCACACGTAATAGAATAATAAAAGGACATTCTTAAAGGAATATTCGGAAAATTAGAATAAATATTAGAGAAAACACTCCTCCTTGTCGAAAGAATTAAGTGTATGATCTCAAACATTATCGGGGCCACTAAGTGATAGTCACAATTTCGCACGATAAGCCTGTCACTGGCGCTGGATGGACACAGCAATGCCACATTCAACACGTGCCCAAGTGACACTTGTCATGCCATATTATCCGCTGTCAGTAACTAAAAATTGATAAGACGTGATGATGAAAGCGCACGAAACGCGGTATTCCGTTAACTCTTTTTCCTCACTCCATGGAATATGTAGTCGGTGTTAGCTTCGTGAACACAATCTATATTCAAGTGAAAATAGCAAATATTATTTATCAAATGTTTAAATTACCTTCCACGTAGCATTGGTTTAACGCTCTCAACAGAACAAACAGTGAAGTGCTTCCTTCAACGAGTTGCATAAGGCTAACATTCAGATCGATTGTCTCGAATAAATTAACCGGTAAATGCATATATACTCTCTGCATAGTACCAGCTGGCAGATAGAAACCGGAAATTACGATCCTCTACATTTTTAACACTAAAACGGAAAAAATATTAAACCTATAAATATAATTTTCTCTTAAATTGTTTCAACAGTAGAAAGGACTTTTTCTCTGCAAATGGAGGACAGCACTATATAAGAATCCCATTGGCCGGTAATCAGACATAAGACTTCTATGTAAATGGCTCTTTTATAGTTTTGATATAAGACACTAGAAATTATTTCCATATTACAGGTTCTACATTTATAAAGCCTAAAAATGCACAATCTGCCATTAATGATCTATTTTCATGAGTTTTTTAAATTATTTTTTTCAGGTTGTCTCGCAGTCGGATCATCGAAAGAGAATTCTGTGATTTTTGTGCTCGGAACTTTATCGCTAGCAGTTTTAGAACATGCTATTGAAAACAATTTTCTCAAATTACAATCCAGGTGACTCGGTTAGAATTACTTCGTAGAGTTGGGTATTTGTGATAACCTCGATCGGAGATGCCACAAAATTCGATTAACCATTCTACATAATTACAGTCATCCTAATCAGTCTGCGTATGAGTTTTATTGTTGCCATTTAAGTTCTAGGATGCCAAAAGTTAAAAGCAATAAAATCGCTTTTATTGGACATTTGAAGAGGGAATTATACTTTTTAAGCGTGGGCACGTATTTTTTTGTAAACCATGCTTCAAACAGGTAACCAAGAATTCATTTTAATTAATTTCAGCGAAATGTAGTAATTGTCAGAACAGTATGAACCGCTTCTCTCTGGTTCGAATGACGATAGTACAAACACTACGCGTCTCAATTGCTTCCACGTTGTGTGACAAATTTTATTTAAATAATAGTGCAAACACAAGAGCCAATAAATTTGCTTGAAGTTAAATAAAATGTATTTTGAAAAATTATTTTTATTTCAATTTATACTGCCTACTTAATAAATTATAACGCATATTTTCACCTTTTAAGAGCCCATTTTACGCGCACCAAATGGAGATTTTAAAGTTTAAATATCAAGTCTGCCGATAACATAAGCAAGATAATCACGTCAATTATGCTATTTCTACTGCCTGTGAATTTCGTAAGAATCGAGATCGAACAGCGCAGACATAACCGCCGGCAATTAAAACGTAATGCAACGACTTTTACAATTATTAAAAAAAATAAATTCAGAAACTCATCTGGCAATGAACTTCCCTTTTATAAGCGATGTATGTATGTTACGTAGAGGAAACTGATAATTACGATCTACTCTAAAATTTTGTTAACATTAAATAGGACCAATTCTCCCCATATGGGCAAAGATGTCGAGTACCAGCTGCATATGTAGATACACAGACAGCCCTGCTAGGTACAGAGAGAAGCGAATTCGATTCGAGTGCCGCCGATTCCTCCTTTCTACATCCGTTTGCAAGGAAAGTTTCAAATGTGCGAGATTAGGGAACCACTTGTCTACTCAAAACCAAAGTCTAAAACCTCCAAAGAGCTCTGAGCTGCCGTTATGTCTCATCAACTCCTGTACGCTGCCAATCGGATGAGGGGATATTATACGGCAGCCGTCGTTCAGCTTGCGCTACTCTTCGCACCTAGGAGTTGTGTAGAACGATTTATTAAGTCGTGCACTTGACGTAAATCAGCTGTTACGGTTTCATTCAATCGGAAGTTTACTACATGTCGCTACAGTGCCGTCACTACGGGGACGTTCAAGCTCCCGGTCGGATGAACCGGTGAACAGCTGTTGTAAGTCCAGTGCGCGGTTTGAGAAATGCTAGCGTAGTGGCGTGTCAAGCGGCCTGGGTTGAAGCCGCGTGCCGCCGGCAGCCGGAACGAACGTCGTGCGGTGGGGCGGGGGAGGGAGGGGCGGAAGGACAAGACGCGGGTACGCGCGGTTCCCACGGCAGCGGCGTGGGCGGTGCGGGGGCGGGGAGGGGGGAAGGGCCACGCACCCGGGGCATCTCGTGCAGGCGCCCCCACGAGCTCTGCTTGCGCGTCTCCTTGAGCTCCGTGAGGATCTCGTGGCGCACGTCGGCCGGCAGCGCGAGGAAGTCGGCGCCGCGCACATCCACCGAGTGCAGCTCCACCTCGCGCCCGCGCACGCGCACCACCGCGCGCCCGCCCGCCGCCGTAGTCGTCGACGTCGCCGTGGACCGCGCGTCGTCATCCGACGACGTCGCCTCCTCCTCCTCCTCCTCCCCGTCCTCGTACTCCGACCTGCGCAAACACACACAGCGGCCAAGGATGTATTAGGCAGTCTTCGCAAGTCGTAGCATGACAATTCTGGGGAGAATTCTTCTGCGCATGCGCCGGGATTTCTATTGATGGGTTCCGCCCTTCTCTCTGATTTGGCGTCTACGACAAATCTTCCCGTAGCTTGCACTTTACGTAGTTTTCACCGCCGCCACTATACACGAATTCGAAACTAATATTCAATAAGAATGGAAATAATGAAAATTACAATCGCCATAGTACCAATTTAATACAGCAGAAAGTTAGTTCATGGTTAATTTTTTCGCACGTTAATTCAAAGACGACAGGAATAATCTAACGTATAAGTTAAGGATTTGGAGGTTATCTGTACATTGAAACTACACTGACTGTAAAGAAAAAATTAATTGTTTATCTGGCGAAATAATTGCGTAATTACCATAATTTTCCATTAACAATAAAAACGATATAAATATGTAGTAAAATTGAAGGGTTACATTCCAAGACTATCTATATGATGATGCTATACTTAACTTCGGAAATAAAGACGTGTATTTTACATATTCGTATGATACAATTAGATTTCATATATGATACGTATTTCTATTTGGTAATGATTATAAAAGCAAAGTAGAGTCAGAAGATTCACATATGTTCAATAAAACCTTTTAGGTACTGCTATAGGTTTTCAGTTCCAAACACTTCCTAGTTTCACGCATATTTTTGATTGCATGACTTGCAAAAACTTTCTATTTACCCGGGCGAGAGGCCCACGAGTAATGATCAATTGTGGCCATTCACAAAGTGGCCGATATCGACCTTCTGGAGCAGTAGAGTAAAGATATGAGTGCGATTCCATCCACAAACCTTTTATCCGAGTCCATATTGTAAAAGTGTATTGCCTACACAAATAGTACTAGTAGCTTAAATAATAAAAATATCCCCTAAAACAGGCTCTCTTTTACATGGCGCCCGCCCGCATTGTGCGCCCGAACGCTACCCCACACATCTGGAGCCCATTTGAACTTTTTTAGGGGGCAATAGTATCAATTATCAATAAAAACTGTGGATGTTGACGACAGCTAAAATTGATTCCCCTAGTCCACAACTACTAATTAAATTATCTGTCGGTTAGTTTGAAATAGAATTAAGCGATTTCAAGAAGTAGTGCCAAAGTAAAGAATTTTTATTTCCCCTACTCTGTCAAAAGTGCCACACTCTCTCTCTCTTCATTGACCATGGAATACTACGATTGTTTGTTTACAAATCAATGTATTTTTCACCAAAACTGGCTTACATTAGAGCGGGAACATGTTTTAACGATATTTATAACTACAACATAAGTCATAAGAATCTTAATCATCAGATGCCACTACAAACAGATCACTATAGAATTCTACATATAATACATTACGTTACTGTACAATTCATTGCCAGATGCCGCTAAAGAAATGCTCACATGTTCCCTGTTTTGCTTCCGAATAAATATAATTTCACAATGCGCACGGTTTTTCAGTTCTTCTTTAGATAGTTGTAGAAATGGGGTAGTATTCCAATACAATAAAACATTCGCCGGGACGAATCCCTCCTCTAAGCCCACGTTTCGGTCCAATGCCACGACGAAGCCATGAGCCCAACAGGGTCCGCCCGAACTTCGTGCGGCCTGGGTCCCTTTCCCGTCTCCGCGCTGCCTGCCTCTCTACCAGAGGCCGTGACCACCCACGCTGCCACTACCCCCTCTGTGGGGGGTACCTTCGGGAGAACGGGCACCCATGGGCACGCATTTGACCTGCATGTAAAATTGTCGCGAAAGCCCAGCGTATGTGTACGCGCGCCTCTTCAGCCACAAAAGGCTCCAAGCCCAACTTAGTTCATTTCACAATTAACAGACAATTTAACTATAACAATCACAGCAATGAACACAAATGCAGTTTTATGACATCTTTGTATTTGTTCTTGCAATATTGCATTGAAAACTATTCATATTCTTCGACAATTTGGGGAGTTCTGAATTCAGGTTCACTGTTAAAGCGATGCAATAACGTTCAATGCGTATGCAATTCGTAATATTCAAGTGTTGGTGATGCCCTACACAAAAGACATCGTTTTTTCGTAATTTTACTCAATTTATGCAAAACAATTGCATAATTAATCGCATTATATCAAAAGGAATATTCCAATTATGAATATTATATATATATCATACGAATTATTTTTTGAACAGTATTATTTAAAAATGAAGTAAAACTGATCTCCCTTTAAAGTACCTTTTTGATTCGCCCATGCCTCCTGGATGGTGATAGAACAACAGAAATGTAATAAGCCCGCTTTTCGAAGCCCCTTCACGGTAGTGCTCTATGCTCTGAGCCACAGGCAGAATTTGTTGAACCGACGATTTTACGTAACATTTCGCACAAAAGCGAGGCCTCTGGAGAACTGTACGAATTTTCCCGGCCGTCGACGAATTTTCTCGCTTAGGCGCCCGACATGTCAACTGCAACTGCATGAGCTGCAACAACTCACAATAAATGAATTGTGAGTTATGAGCGTTACATAATAACATTTTGCAATAGTTGTTATTAAAATAATCCTAAGAAGCATTTAATTGTTTTCCTTTGCACTAGGAGTACTGCAGGTTTAACCTGCTTGGAATTTAGATGTTAGGAATTCTCTTCGTTTACCCTCCTCCGGTACTTCTATATCCATCAATTATTATGCGTTCGTTTCTTGCATTTCAGTTGTCAGTAAAATATTGTACGTGCTTATTTTGTCACATCATTTTTCGAGTTGCGCCACTACTGCAGCACATAAACAATTTGATATTACATTTAACACAACTTACGGAGTTTTTCTATGTAACATTTTGCAAAACCTGAAATTTTGGCATATTTTCATTTACGCAAGTTTTTTTTTTCTTTTTTTTTTTTCATTTGCCTTCTAGTAATGTTATTTGTACGCAATTTGGGTGCAAAATTTGGTTCACCCAAATAGCGTCCCCATTCAACCATAAATTCGCCGCAAATAAAAGGGATAAGTGTGAATTAAAGTAGAGATTTAGATTTCTAAACCCTTTCCCTAGCAACGTTTCTATCACTTCCTCTTTACGTTGGATCAATACATTAGTGTACATAATTCTAAAAGGCTAAATATGCATGCAACATATATTGTACTTCAGCTCCTGGGTTCCATCTCGGTCAGGGGTTTCGTTCAGTTTTCCTTTATCCATTGAGCAAATGCGGAGTCCCCTTGCTTTGCTTTTGGATTGTAAATGAAGCTTTACTTCGCGCAAGTTTTGTTGAGGTCATTTTTGCTAGTTGTGGGAGGGATTTTGTTTTGCCAATAATGATATAAAATTACATCTGTAGTTTGTTTGCCGATGTAAACGTGTTTTATAGTGCTAGGGAACGTTGGTACCTTTATTCATTAATGGTAGCTCAAAAAAACGAGTGAATGTTGTACTCCTCCCTCATACGACACTAACGTTTTTTTCTGAATTTTTACAATAACGAAATAAATTGCGTTACATACATATATGCACATACAAACCCGCAATCTCCAACAATATACCACTTGGAACAGATGCAGAACGATCTTGCACAGTGTGACGAACGACAGCTGCGCATAACGTGATAATATTTCAGGATTTGCGATTTTTGATTTTACTTTCTCAATTTTTACGGGAAATATTGAACTCAATTCTTTTTGGCGGAAAGGGAATCTCGGCGCTTGGACGACACCCAAGTTCAGTTTCTTTCGGAAACATTCCCTTCATTGCCACTGCACTTCGTTCTCCAGGCTCTTCGTCGCTGCGCGTTCTTGACCTTCTGCGTCGTTTTCAAACAGCATTTAATGTAAGAGCAGAATAGCAGCAATCGGATTATAATTCCGAGCAATTGTTGAATAAATTACCCTTAATGGTGGCGAAACATGGGAAGTAAGTAAAAACAATGCAAAAAACTACAATCTATAGAAATGGAGTCCCTTGGTAATTGCTGTAGGACCTCAAAATTACAACATATCCAAAATGAAATAGAACAGAATATGAATATAGACAGATTAATAAAATAGAATACAAGAGACTGATGTAGTGTGGACAAGTAAGGAGAATGGATGAGGTGGATGGCCGCTGAAAACATGGGACTGAAAGGGCAGGAGCTGAAAGAAGAACACGAGGAAGACCAAGGAGAGCTGTGGAGATTCTGCGTGCGAAGCGAAGGCTCCAGAGCCCCGCAAGCAGCGGACGCGGCGCACAGAACGAAGCGTTGACTCGAGTGCGGGAAACGACGAACGCGGGAAAACACTCGCTGAAAAGAGGACTATAATACAAGAACACAACGCACACGAAATAAAATATGCAAAATTGGCCGAAGTATTAAAACAGTCTTTTAATTATTCGGTCCAAAATAATTTTTTTGAATACTGCCTTCTAAATGCGACACGAATCATACGAAACGTATGATCGACAATTGATCATACGACTCGTATCTCACAGATCAGACTGGAAATTCTCAGTGGTATGGTAGGTAGTAGTGAGAGAGTTCAGAACAAGAATTCTCTCAGCGGAAAGGTTTTTGTAGCTAGGCAACTGTTACACAGCAAAGGCACAAAATCTGCCTTATTACTTAGTACTCAAAATAGTCGCAGGTGCAGTAGGAATACTAACATAAAAGCTTATTTAATTGCAATGATATTCATTTTATTCTGCATTGAACTCTGACATTTGTTACAGCTGATTTTTGCTCCCACGCAGCATCTTATAAATATATAATGGTATATAAATGAGTCTTTTGCTGTATTGAATAGGCCCACACGAGTTAACGTATATAACAAATAGGAAGACGTTTAACTTTGATAAAAAAAACAGCTTTTAATTTTTCATTTGGAAGCAAAGACTAATTTCGAAACACATTTTCTCCTTAATAGGAACTACTATTCTATAATATCCATTCCTGGGTTTGCAACTAGCTAGCAAACCATCATTTCATTCTTTCCTTAACCACAAGTGGTTGACAGGGGTCCCACGAGATGTTAACTTCCTTTCGCACATCATAAGAGAAAATGTAAGGCGTTTATTATTTAGAGGTGTGTTGTTAACAGGGGGCTGAGGCAGAACTGTGTGAACTTTGCTACTTTCACTACCATGAACGTACTGAAAAGGAAACGCTTACTGAAAAGAAAAAATGTAAAATCTGACAATGCTAGATGATTAATCCAAGCATTTAAGTGACAAATCTCATTACCTGAAAGAAGTAAATGCAGTATTTTAAATATCAGTTATATTAGTAATTCAGGAACATTTATGTATAATAGAAAAAGTAATGTACACAAGTATTGTAAGCAGGTCCCGATAGCCGAGATCGCCGAGGCAGTAGTGCCGTGGCGATTCGGGCCGAAGGATCTAGTCCCACCTACGGCATGGTTGTATTGGGTTCGTTCTTTCACCCCCTGTCATCACCACATCATCCCATCTTCACAGTTACCATACCGTTAAATGCAATAGTGGTCGCTAATAACCTACAAAAAATAGTTGTTGTTGCGACCTTAAAAAAAAGTACTTTAAGATGACTTATAAACGAACGAGGACTAGTTGAAAGAAGATACAGCAGCGCAATCTTCTTTGCATGAGTTGAAGATGGCATTTTGCAGAAATATACAGTTTCTACATTACTAGGTTATGTGACTGTTAACTTCTCCACTTTTCATTTAACGTCGATTACACCAGCAACGCCTTTTCGGCCAAGATATTATGAATTTAATAATTCCAAAAACTCGTTTAAGTGGCTGAATCGGTCACATTATGCTTCAAAAGTTACATTCTGGGCGAAACAAATTAAAGGATTAAAAAGGAAATATCAAAGAAAGCGAAGAAAGGATAGGGAACTTGCATATATGTAAAGTTACAATATTAACTGAACGCGTATTTTATGTTTTAAAATTAAGACATATTCCACTTCCTTTTTATTCCACATCTACGTATGTTTTACGCATGAGGTTCGATTTTGGCCCTTTGTAGGTACAAATTGTGGCTTTACAAGCACAACCCCATTCACAATATTAGAAATATCGAGATTTCTAGTGACTTCGTATTAAACTATATGAACAGCCTATCTATACGAGAACCAAAAAAATGAATGACCCTGCACAGTTCCTGGAATACGAACAACGCAAATATCAATAAAGTTATATTTGAAATTAAAAAAGGGTCATTTCTCGTCAATACGCAATTAGATAAACACAATCTTGAACTTTTCCCCACTATTTTTAACTCTAAATTCGCAGACAGTGTAGGCATTACTTGCAAATTCTTGGTGGACGCGTCTTGCAACTACTATAGAAGAAATGTAACACCAAAAATATTTTAAATCTAGAATGCACACGATATACTAGTTAACCGCGATCCTTGCTTCTGCGCAATGCAGCGAAAGGTCACACATCCAGACACTAGCAGGCCTAACTGGGCGTTAACCACAGCGTCAAAAAAACGACGATTTCCTTCTCCCTCAACACCATGGGCGACCGCTGGGCCTATTTTGCGTTTTCCGAGGCGCGGGCGTCAGAAACCACTCCGCCCCCACTTGGCTCCCGCCCTCCTTGTCCGCGTCTCGCTTCCTCTTCCTTCTGCCTGCCGGGCCGGGCCTGGCCGAGCCGGGCCGTTCCTTTGTGCGGGCGGCCTTACTTACAGCCCTCTCTTTGTTGCTTCACTTTTAATGGGAGCAACGCGCCAGCCGCTGAAACCGTGGGAAAGCGGACGACGCGCCGACGACGCGCCGCGACGCGCCACGCCGAGCGCCCGGGCGGCGGCGGCGGAGAGGCTCGAGGTTGGCAACCCGCGCGCCACGCGCCACCTTCCAACGAGGGATGCGACATCGCTGGCGATGGAGAAACTGGACAAACATCGACGTTTGCAACATCAATTTATTAAAACTGATGTTTCGTGATCGATGTTTTTCCGACGTCTTTTCGGGGAATGAAGAAATCCCATAATCATTTTACGGTAAAAGTTAAATAATGAAATAATAACTCATAGTATTACTGTTAATCATCTGTTTGGACCAACGGAACGCTGTTTGCACTACTTTCATTGACCAGACTCTCTCCCCCCTCCACGGCCTAATATTTCCTCTTTCTTCTTATTCAGTTAGCACGTTGGGATTTACTTTCTGTGTCCTAATTGGGAATCAATTGGTCCGATGGCCGGGATCCTCGGCGCAGGCTGGGGCCGTAGCCTAGGCAAAATGTTGGACCTGCTCCCACTGCGACGCCGCCAGGCCCCTCCACTCCCGTTTCTCATTCCGGGGCTCAGCCACTTAGGTCATCAGTTCCCGACATTTTCGTATAAGAACTGACTGAAAGACGTGCGGGCAAGCTGCGTGCACGTACATGTACGAATCGGTACATTTAAGACATGTGGTTAGGCGGAAGAGCGGGCCTGATGGCGACATATCAATAAAGGCATATTATTATTTATTATTATTATTATTATTATTATTATTATTATTATTATTATTATTATTATTATTATTATTACGTATGATTTCTGGGAATACAAGTCTCCCTAATATTCGATATACACACGCTGTTGAATGCCGAGAACGCACTGTCTAAACTATTATAACAAATTCCAGTGGTACTAAATCTTATAATTTCATGAGACACGGCAACTAGTGGGAACAATCGCAAATGGTACAAAATTGCATCTGGAGGTTCCTTCAGTGAGTGTCTCCGTAAAATCTCTTGGTGGTCCCCTGGAGGACCGCTGTTGGAACGAATGACTGAAAATAAAGTTCGAAATGGAAAAACCTTAAATTTAGTATTAAAGAAATTGAAGTTTATTCCACGATTCATTATAATGAATTAATAGCTGAAACCTAGAGATTACATCGCACAAAAGGAACGTAGTACATAGACACACGAAAAATTGAAAACCCAAAGATACTGTTTCATGTCGTTCTGTACTTCTCCACGGCTAAAGAAATAATGCAAATTTATAAATTCTGCAATAGTAAAACCACTATTGAATGTAGAAACAGAGTTAGTCTCGTTTCGGAAATGTACCTGAAATGTATTATATTTACCAATATTTGTACACTTATGTTTTTGATAAAGCAGAAAATATTGCTATTCATCTTAACAAAAAACGTGAAGCGTCACCAATAATTATAATAATTTGATCAGTTTGGCAGAAGGACATATGAATCATACGATTACTGCACAATACTTTTATATACACTGAATACTACAATGTAGTACTCTTCCAATTACATATAGTATTAGGTCTGGGAAAAGACGTAATGACAGCAGATAAGCGTTAATTCTATTAATTTTCACATCTTATTGGAACTTAAAGAGTCTGTGGTATAAAACAGATTCATAATAGCATGCAATAACATATCTGGGACTTACTACAGTTCATTTAAAGCAAAAAATCACGCAATTTGATAGAAAGCTCAAATTTCTTTCTGAACGAAACCCACTAAGCATACTAAATAAATTCATTAATACGGATGTTTTATTTCTTCCCGTAATTTTTGATGGGATACTCCTAAATAAATATATTACAACAGAGAACTTCATAAAGGTATCCCAGAACACGCATCAACACGCAGATATCCCACACTGATTTACATGTGGCACTATAAAAGGGGGAGTACTTTTAAGTCGCGTTTACATTCTGTGAAAATGGAAGAGGAGGTTTTGTGGGCGTAGAGGCAGTTCTGCAAGAAAACTCAATATCTACGGTAATATAACATGAGTTGCAAAAGTCTTCCACGTCGAGCTGACACGAGTCATAAAACAAAACGATTTATTCCAATATATTTTACATTGGCGTTCAACAAACGAAAGTAACCACGACCTCCCTCAAGGACAAGTACTTCGTATCGACATACGATGATCGCTGAAAAGCTCACCAGCGCGGAATCAGTGACGTACATGCGCAACTGAAAAACAACAACGCAGCGTCACTACCCCAATCGCGGGCAGCGCAGCCTCGCGTCGCTGGCTGCGCGGGGGCGGCCCGGCGCGGGAAGAAATGCAGAGTTTTCCTTCCTTTCGCACGGTGCCATTATGCCTTGAGCAATCGGAGTAAGTGGGCTGACAAGCATCGCCGCTATCTACGAAGGATGCGACCAATGCCATCAACTTATCTGCATTCACCGCCCTCTGCGAGAAGGCTCATTTACATCAATTCTCTCATTTAAAAAGTGTTCTCGGGAAACAATAATGCGTCATCCACTAAGGCAAACCAACACACATGATTATATATTATGAAAGTGCAGTTTTTAATTGTGATAACAGGAAGAAACGAAAAAATGGCAACTTTTTCAACTTCACTTTTTAAGTATGAGAAAGTATTATAATAATGTTCGGAAAACGGCGAATTTTCGACAGATAAACTCTTAATTTTCAGGCCCTCTTAACGAAATTGTGGATCAATCATGTTCCTATTTACAGTAAACTTCCTCTAATACGTTGTGTGGTCAGAATTCATGTTTTGAGTGTTCTTGATATCGAAAAATCGATTGACGGCAAAACGTCGGCATCTGTCTGTGGTACACGCTATCGCTGAAACGTTCGGCGCCGATGTTCTCCAAAATTGAGAGTCCTCGATCGATTTAAAGGAACTCGTAATTAGCCCTCTTAGTTAGAAAAGATGCTTCAATTTTGGGGGATAGTTTAAATCAAGTTTCAACATTTTCAAAATTTTATCAAAAAATGGCTTCAAATTTTATGGTTAATCATTGTCCCTGGATAGCGTAAAGAACGCTTAATGATGCTCCCTGATTTTTGCGAAAATTACAAAAGTTTAAAACTTTTTTGGGTGTCTTCCTACATTTACAATACTGAGCATTTTTTTTCTTAATGAAATTCGTTTTTACGTCAGATCTTGATATAAGATCATGTACAATCATTCAAAAATAAGAGTTGTTGTCACGCAATTTTGCGTGAAATACAGGCCATTTTAAACAAATTTTCTAAAAAACAACGACAAATTATTCCTTTAAATCTTATCCTTATATGTATCACAGGACGGTAAAAATGGTGTTAGTCTGATTTCCGGAAAACTCTCCCTATTTTCAAAAATTGCACAAATTAACATTTCAAAACTACAAAATTGAAAACAGAGATTTTTGCCTTAAACAGAGTATGTTCTAAAAAAGAAAGGCTCATTAAAGAAGGTCAGGTACTATCGTTTTTAAAAAACGAGTCGTTTTCGCGTAATTTTTGCGACAAATTAATTCAATTTATAAAAAACTTATTCTCAAAAACCGCGCCAATTTTCGCTTCAACTTTTTTCCACAGATAAACAAGGGAATATTAAAAGCATGTCACAGGTCTTATTTTCGTTGAAATCTAAGGTCGCATTTCCGAAAATTGCATTTGGGGAAGATAATTACACTTAAACATTTTTAAGCGACGGCTCAAGTGATTACGTCAGAGCGACTTGTTGGTCAAGCAGTAACACGCACGACGTGTTAAATTAAAAGAACTGAGTTCGAGTCACGGCGCTGAAAAACTGTTGGCTGGTTGAAAACCTTCTTAAGGTTCACGTAGTAATATAATGTAGCAGTTACGTTACAAAAAATGCAAAGAAAATATGTTCTAGTACTGTGGTAGTAGCTTTGAGTATATAAACGATTCGCAAAAAATAAAGATATGTGATATAATATAAATTATTTGTCAATTTTAATCCACGTGATTACGAGACTATAGTGCTAATAAAGCATTTTAATCCATTGAAATGCACATTTTAGTACTCCAAAAATTGTAACTATACTTCGATCCAATCGGGATCCAACACTATTATCGAATCACAAACTTGAACATCACGATGACGTCACTGTGGTGCCGATTGGACCGACCAAGCACTATTGTTTGGACACGTTTTACACAAATAAAATTATTTTATTTCGAAAATTTGAATTCCCTGGTATATTTCGAAAAACCGAAAAACGTTAAAACACTCCCGTATTCACAACGATGTTTGCAGACTACCACCGTAGTGATAGGGCTCGGTAGGGCCTCAACGGTTGGAGATGCACATATCGTGGGAGACAGAAAGAGACTTCCTTCCAGAACGACCAACCTTACACGAAGGACTAACACATGTACATTTTGATTCAAAACCATTATCAAATGGAAATAATTTTGCCAAACATAAATAATGCATTCAATATTTGTCATTGAGTAAAGAATTGACTCAATTTGCGCACTTTCAATATCACGCGAAATTCTTGAAGAGTCAGACGAAGACAAAACAATTGGCATTTTCTCCTCGAACGAAGCGCAGCGCTCAGCAACGAGCCCCCGCCCAATGGCTGCGCAACGGAAGACCCTACTTTGAAGCCTAGGGCCAAAGACGAAGTGTAGGAATAGCAGCAAGAACGTGGCACGGTGCAATACCTGGGAGAGCACCACACGCCAGAGAGAGCGCCAGTTGCAAAATCATTTCATATACATGGATATTCTGCAATATCTTGAATATTGAATGTCATTAAAATGAGAATGAATATTCCCAAATTATTACAAAATATTTGTCGACTATTTGGGAGTCGTCCAACCTAAGCAAGAGCCGCTGCTGTCTGAGTTCGAGATTCAAATGGTGATGGAGCGGTGGACAGAGCGGATTCGCGGCCGGTTTTCTCGGGGTTCTCCCGTTTCTCTCCTCTCACTCAACCATCGCCCCATCGTTTGACTGATTTAGTGATTCTTGGCACGTCAACTAACAGGGTCGTTAGTCCCGTTAGTGTAGTGCATACTTTTGGTCGGGAGGTGGCGGTGATCTTCCCCGCTTTATGGCGAGATTCAGCGCCGACCGACCGTTGGCTAGCGGGGTTTTCCCCCAACCAGATATCTCCCACCAGCGGGGCTCGGACTCAGCCAGAACAAGCTCTAAGCTCTCGACCGGTTTCCCGGCATTTGATGAAGTGTAGGGCATGTAAGTGTAAATGTATGTAAGGGGTGAGGATAAGAGAAGGAAGAAGTAGGAAAGATCGCGCGCGGTCCGTGACTCGCTTGTTACGGTACTGCTAAGGCATTCAACTGGTATTGATCTTAGGAATCACGGAAAACTACCGATCGGGGCAGCCGGCCGCTAGAATTCTCCCCCGGACAAGGACAAAAATAAATCAAGCTCTGTAGCTAGTGTCGGAAATCCTCCGACCGGCCGGAAGCGAGCTCAAGGACCACCCGGTCAGAGGCACCGCACTTCATGCCTTGAGCCACCTCTCCCGGCCATTGTGCTCGCATCGCGAAGAGGTAAATCCAAATAAAAAGTACTCCCTTTGCAGTTTTCACATCCCACTTAGTGTGAATCTATAAATCATTATTTAATACTATGCTCAAGAAAAGAAAAGAAAAAAAATCGTCCGCAGAAGTCGCTTTGTCTTTCAACCTGCGATGGATCTGTTTCTCGACAAGTCCTTCCGGGGCTCGTATCAGATGAAAACTAGTTCTTCCAGTTTTCCCCTCCCGGCCGGCGCGGCGAACGGCACCGCATTTTAAAGTCAGATTCAAAAGGAATTCGACGCAAGATACGCGACGGGCACACGTAGGCGACTTGCCCTTTGCACGCCACGCTACATTGATAGGGCGAAACGTCCGTAATATTAACGCAGATGCCAAATACACTGAAGCACTCAATATTCAGTGTATTAGGTATCCGCGTAAATATTTCTGCATTTCAGATAACTCGATGACAGTAATTTAACAGAAGAAATAAATTTAAAAAAATGAATCTTCTATTGCTTTGTATTATAAAAACTAAATAACCAGATAGCTTTTCACATGTTATTACTCAAAATTAATTTTACAAGACACGGCAAGACACGGTAGGAGCTCGCGGCAGCGCTCGAACACCGACAGCATACCACGCAGGCTTTTATATTTTTGATGACTAGTCTGCCGGATGTAAGCAAAACCCTATTTTGTCGCTTTGGAAAGAAAAATAGCTATTTATGCCTCAAGGACGTTGCAAGGTTTCTAATAAGCAAAGACAAAACGCCCTAGCAAACACAAAACGCCGGAGGGCCTTTGGCAAGAGATCATTAGGACCAGTTAACGCCCGTGGTACATACATACTTTTATTTATTCCGATTTACTTATTTACTAATTAACTAGATGTTAACTTGACTCTGTTTATCTTTTCATATTTCCCTCCCATAATTCACTATTATAATTCCTTCTATAAGGAAAAAAGTAGCATAATTCAACCGTTTTTGTATTTCCCTCGTAAACACGATCCTCTTGATCCAGTTAAGTTGTGGAAGTCCGTATTGATGGCAATAACAAGCTATGACGTATCAGTAAAAAAATTAAAATAATTACACGCTAGTGGCCAGCAGGTAAGATCGATAGTGTTTTAACGCTCGGGGGTGCATAAACGCCTTACTTTCCTGCATCTGCACATGCTCAGAAGATCGAGATTGCAATCGATTGCTGATGGCTAAGCCTAAACCTAAGACTAAATGCAAAAACTCCAGAATATTTGCAAATTTTATAAAGGTTTTACTGATAGCTCAAAATTATTTTTAGAGCCATTTTTTTACATTCTCCTACAAACGCCCAAGTCGATCATGTTTTGATTTAAAACAGGTTGGCAGTGCTGCGCCGTGTGATCGATTAGCACAATCATGGAACGCAACGTAGTTATGTCCACGTGCATTACGTAATGTATTACGTTCAGTTGACGAAGGTCGTCCAGAGGCGCCTTCCTCACAGGTATTAATTCTTAAAGGCATAATACTTTTACGAACTCTTGGCGACGTCCGTTCACACGCGAGGTTTTTTAAAATCATTTTTCGAATGCGTCTTAAGTTAAAATGGGAGTAGATTTACGCCTAATTAAAAACGTTTTGGGCCTTCTCAACATACAACGCTCTAAGACTGTTTTGCATATGTCCGTTCTCCCCTGAGATATGGCATAATATTTTGC